GGGGGCCAATGCACTTCTGTGGTCTTCGTTGACTAGGATCAAAGTGTCAGATACTAGTTTTTTTTTCACAGCTGAGCCTTCAAGAAGGTAGACTACTTTCCTGCTGCCACCTGGAGCTGCTCCATAGTCAGTCAGCTAGGGCAGGGCTTCTCTGGCCACATCATCTACCACATTCATGTTGGTAAACCACACAGTTGAATTAACAAAAGCAAAATAAGTGGACTGGAGAGATTCTTAGTGGTTAAGAACACTTGGTGTTCTTGCAGAAGACCTGTGTTCAGTTCCTGTCACCCATGTGGTGGCTCACAACTATCTAACTCCATAAATACCAAGTGCACGTGTGGCACACATACATTAAAAATATTTTAAATAAATGTACTTGTGGTTTTTTGTTTGTTTGTTTGTTTGTTTTGGTTGGGTCACATTCAGAAATGTCCTGACTAGATTCTTTTTTTTTTTTTTTGGTTTTTCGAGACAGGGTTTCTCTGTGTAGCTTTGAAGCCTGTCCTGGAACTCACTCTTTAGTCCAGGCTGGCCTTGAACTCACAGAGATCCGCCTGGCTCTGCCTCCCAAGTGCTGGGATTAAAGGCGTGTGCCATCACCGCCCGGCTATGACTAGATTCTTTTTTAATTCTTTTCTCATATATTACACCCTGACCGCAGTTTCCCCTCTTTCCTGCCCCCCCAACAATCTACCCTCTCCCCAGATCCACCCCTCCTTCTTTCCATTCAGAAAAGAGCAGGCCTCCCAGGGATATCAACCAAACATGGCATATCAAGTTATAATAAGACTAAGCACATCCTCTCATTAAGGCTGGAGGAGGCAGCCCAGTAGGAAGAAGAGGGTCCTAAAAGCAGACAAAAGAGTCAGATAGCCCTTGTTCCCAATGTTAGGAGTCCCACATCACCAAGTTACACAACCATAACGTTTATGCAGAGGAACTAGGTCAGACCCATACAGGCTCCCCGACTGTAGATGCTGTACCTGATCTCACAACTGTAGTTGGAACAGTGAACAACCCTTGGGGTAATTTAGTGAAATAAAGTAAGTGGGTCAGATATTCAAAAACAATGCAATAAGTGGGCAGTGTTGCAACTCAGCTCTTGGGAGGCTGAGGCAGGGAGATTGTGAGTTCCAGGCTATCCTGGGCCATAGTGTAAGACTGTCTCAAAAAAGCACATGCACACAGACAATCAGCCTTGCATGGTGTAAACACCAGTAGTTTGAGCAATGGTGATGCTAATTAGGGGGATTACCCAAGCCAAGGAATTTGAAGGTAGCCTGAGCCAACACACCAAGATCCTAGGTCAACAAAAGCAGGCATGAGCCAGATGAGGGTAGAAACTTAAAACAAGAACGCAATAGAACCAGTCCATCTTTCCCCACCCTACTCAAACCTTGATGTCCCATTTGACTACCACATTTTCTCTTGATAATAGATTTTAGTGGCTATGCTTATGGGATAGATTAAAGTTGCCATGATCTGAAGAGAGAGGACTTTCCAGTGTTCTCCCTCTATATGAAATGGCTGAACAGTAAACTACTGCTTATGACAATGGGCACTGTTGCTCGTGGTTAAAACCCAAAGTTTGAGTAAAGGATTTTCCCCTCCCATATTTTATTTATTTTTTTGAGACAGTTTCTCTGTGTAGATCTGGCTGTCCTATAATTCACTATGTAGTCCAGGCTGGCCCTGAACTCACAGGGATCCATCTGTCTGCCTCTGCCTCCAGAGTGCTGGAATTGAAGGCATGCACCATTACTTCCCAGCTCCTTCCTGTGTTTTAAACAGGGAGCAAGCAGTATGCTCTATCAGTGAAAACCCAAGTGTTAGCAGGGATGTACTTGTCTGATAATGCTGCTAAGACACCCATGTCTTCCCAAATTAGTGGAATAAACAGTTTCTTCTTTAATGCATAGTAGATGCTGTGCTGCTGTTAAACATAAATATTAATACAACTGAAAGGGGGCTGGAAAGATGTCTCAGAGGTTAAGAGCACTGTCTGCTTTTCCATAGGACTGGGGTTTGATTCTCAGCACCCACATGGCAGTTCACAACCATCCGTAGCTCTAGTTTAGAATCCAATGTCCTCTTCTGGCCTCCCAGGGCACGAGATGCACACATGGCACAGAGACATATATGTAGGCCAGACACGGATACCATATACTTAAGACAGCAAAAAAGATGCTATTGCTGTGAACTCTGCACCCGATCTCGGAACTCTAGTTGGGAAAATGAATAGGATGCCATGTTTCAGCTTGGGAGATTGCTGCATATACCAGGTCATGCCAGAGGATATTGAGGATTTACAGGTATCTTTGTAAATGGAAGTATTAATTGTCAGTCTCCATGATATTTTGAGCTGTTAAGTTTTAGTAAAAGAGTATCTTGTTAACTGTATACTATTTGATTTTGATTATTTTATTTTTTACAATAAATTAATGAGAATGTTAAGAATTTATTTGTAGAGTTAACCTTTTTTTTCTCTCTAAACTGTATCCAGCTTTATTTTATTTATTTATTTATTTTGGTTTTTCGAGACAAGGTTTCTCTGTAGCTTTGGAGCCTGTTCTAGACTAGCTCTGTAGCCCAGGCTGGCCTCGAACTCAGAGATCCGTCTGCCTCTGCCTCCAGAGTGCTGGGATTAAAGGTGTGCGCCACCACCGCCCGGCATATCCAGCTTTATTAAAGATACTTTCCATAAACAATCATGGTTTTTCAGGCAGGACATGGGTAGACAGTCATTAACAGTATACAAGGACTTCCAAACTTTCTTCTTGTATAGACTACCAAAATCGGAAAGCAATTGTAAAACCCGATGAACTTGCATTCGGTGCTTTGCAAAGGGGGAGAGCTTAGAGTGAGGGCTGACGGTTCACATGGAGGATGCTGTTTACCAACTTTTCACAAGTCGACCCTGACTTTCAGAAAACGAAATGAACTCAGCAGAATTATCAGTCTGAAGATCCACACAATCTTTTATAAAAGGAACCGCTGCTCTTTTGAGGACACAATGATACCACTGCAAAGTCCAGATTGCCTGATAGACCAGCAAAACCAATTTGGGGGGTCAGGTTCCAACAGGTCTCTGGTTTGAAGGGGATTAAGTCTATGTTGATGGTACAGGGGGAGGAAGACACAAAAATGAATTTAGAGTTTTCCACACAAGGCATTTTGTGCCATGGTGGCACATATGTCAACACCAGGAAGTCTCTCCTGAGAGCCAAGAGGAGTCTTTCAAAATCATCAGGAAAAGATGTTTTCCATCATCAACCATCTTCAATCCAGCTTGGGAGACATTCCCCCCCAAAAAAACAATGACGTGTTCTGTGTGCTAACATAACTTAAAAAAACAAACAAAATTCTGCGTTTTTATAAAACTTGATAAAAGTAGTATTTCAAATTCTGAGGTCACCAGAAGTACAGTTATCAAAATGCACACATCTCACTTGGCATCTGCAGCACCTTCAGCTTTCTATGCCTGCTCTGTTTTGGCGTCTCCATTTTCTGCACCCTCACCAGCATCAGCTTCCCCCTTCTGCCCCTTGGGGACCTTCTCTCCCTTCTTTGCAGGGGTATTTTTAGGCTTGGGCTTTGGAGGAGCAGGTTTAGCAGACAACCTTGGCTTTATCTCCTTTAGTATCCCCTTTCAGTCTTTCTTTTGGGCATGGCAGTGGCGGGGCACGGGTTTGGTTCCCGATGTCTACCGTAGGGGTTAACTTTTTTTATTTTGGCTTTGTTTTTTGAGACAGGGTCTTACGTAGCCTTGGCTTGCCTGAAGGTAGAAATGTAGGCTTGTCTCAAACTTATAGATCTGCCTGTCTCTGCCTTCTGAGAGCTAGGATTAAAGGCATGCACCACCACACCCAGTTAAATTTTTCTTTTATGTGTGTGTTTGTCAGTATGTATGTATGTGTAAAAGATGCCGGATTCTTGGAACTGGAGTTACACATGTTTGTTAGCCACCATCTGGGTGCTGGAAACTGAACTCCCATCTTCTGGAAAAGCAATGGCCGAACTGTCTTTCCAGCCCCTGCAGTGTGTTTTGTTTTCTTCTTTGAGACAGTTTCTCTGTGTAGCCCTGGCTGTCCTAGAACTCTCCCTTATAGATCAGGCTGGCCTTGAACTCAGAGATATGTCTGCCTCTGCCTCCCAAATTGGGATTAAAGTCATGTGCCACCACCGTCTGGCCTGTAGGGGTTTTTTTTGTTTTGTTTTTGTTTTTTTGTTGTTGTTGTTAGTATACTAGAACTGTGTCAGCTGTACCAGAGTGTGGTGAGTGGTACATGGGCATCAACTGTAATGCCTGAGGTTGTTCTTGAGTCAAGGACAGGAGAGCAAGAAAGAGCTCAGAGTTAGTGGAGGTATTGCCAGGTGTAGTGGCACATGCCTTTAGCCTCAATGGCAGCATATCTCTGCAGATTTTGAGGCCAGCCTGGTCTACACAGCAAATTCCAGGACAGCCAAAGCTATGTATAGGAACCCTGTCTTGAACACAGTCCCGTCCCAAGCCAAACAAAACAAAACAAAAAAAAACCCCAAAACCAAAAATGGAAGTCCTTTAAGTGAGCTTAGGAACTTAATAACTGGGTTGGTGCATGCTGGGAAATGTACTGTTGGGGTTTTATCTCTAGTTTAAGAAAACTGAATATTTGGAATAATGAGTTTTTACAATTTTTTCCCTCATATTCATCTGACTACAATACATTTGGATGTAAAAATTATGGATTTAGTTTGTTCTTGTAATGTTTATTCCTTTTTAAACTTTAAGATTACTGGGTGTGGTTATAATCTTTACTGGTTGAATTTGAGAGGTGAGGCAGGCAAATCTCTGAGTTTGATGCCATCCTGGTCTACACAGTGAGTTCCACGGTAGCTAGAGCATGGCGGGGAGACTCTTAGGAATGCTGAAGTGATGATGTACAGCTGGCTTAGCACGGTGAGTCAGTCCTTTTCAGGCTCTTACAATTGATTGACTGACTTGTATTGTTTTACAGGTTGAATCGACCAAAGCGATGGTTATGGAGAAGCCTAGTCCCCTGCTGGTCGGGCGGGAGTTTGTGCGACAGTACTACACCCTGCTGAACCAGGCCCCGGACATGCTGCACAGGTGTGCTTTCACGTGCCTAGGAGGGGTGTTGTGGGATGACTCTTCACATAAGCACCTTTAAGTAGAGGTTTAGAAAGAGCATAAGATCTTACCATGGTAGGTAGCCCTGGCCTGGCCTGGCCTGGCATTCACAGAGTTCTGCCTGCCTATGCCTCCTGAGTGCTGGGATTAAAGGTGTCCACTATGCCTGGCTCACACAGATTTACTTTGTAAAGCTGTATTAATTCACTAGCAAGGTGGTTAGAATCTGTCTGGTATTTTTGGTTGTTGTAGTATATAAAACTATGTGGACTTAGATTGATTTTTCACACAAGTCCTAAGATGAGTTTGCTGGGCTAGAGCACTATATTTTCTACTTCAGTCAGGCTGGAATTTTTTTTTTAAAGCTTTATCATTTCTAAGACAGTATCTGCTTCTCTTGACAATCTTTTGGTAAAGCGTTTCAGAAGCTGGCCTCATCTTATAGATGTTGATTTTCAGAGCATTTAAAATTCTCTGTATTCACCTTTCAGCAGCAGAAAAGGTCTCTGCATGTTTTTACCCTTCCTTTTTTTCTTAATTCTTGCTGGGTTTTATGTCAGTTTTCTTCTCTGCTCTGCCTTATAAATGAGTTAAATTTGTGGTGTCAGAACCTGCATCAGCGCAAACCCAGGCTGGAGCTGGAAGACACTGCATGCACACCTCTCTTACTAATGCTGTTAGAGCCTACGATTTCCTTTTCCTGCATTTCCATTCCCATCGAGGGTGGAGTGGAGAGGGGCCTGGTGGAGAGAGCAGAGGCTGCTGAAGTGAGTTCCTTTAATAATGTGAAAAGTAGCATGTTGCCTGATGCATTGGTGCACGCCTTTAATCTTAGCACTCTGGAGTCAGAGGCAGCTGATCTCTGAGTTCCAGTCACGCCTGGTCTACGTAGTGAGTTCCAGACAGTGCTCAATAGGAGAAACCCTGTCTCAAAAAGGTAGATGTGGATGTTGATAGAAAATACAAAGCTGTAGCGTGGCTCACTTATTTTAGAGTTTATTGGGCTGACCTCAGATGTCTTCCGGGATTATTCTTTAGTTGGCATTTGGCTGTACATCTCTCTGATATCCTTTTAGTGAAAACAGGGTATTTGAGTGTATAGGCGGGAGAGCTAAAGGAATGAAAGTTCGTACCGCCCGCACACAGGACAACTGCCCACTGCCTTCTCAGGTGGGAAGGCACCGACTCTTCAGTCCGTGACAGGGCAGCTATCCTCAGCGGAAGCAGGAACTTGACTTTGATTTTAAGTGCCTGGCTTTGCTGACAAACTCCAAGGTCCTTCCCAACATGATCATCCTGCCCTGAAACCTGGAAGTCGGGACTTGAAAACCACACACATACCTCACTGACTGAGACTGTTCCCACTCCGGGTGTGTGCAATGGATTTATCGTGCACAAACAGAGTCCCTGCTGTGAGTCTGCCAGTGAGGTGGATAGGTATCAAGCCTGAACACTAAGTACCTGCTCTTCTGGTCCTTGAAGATGAGAAGTAAATTGCCTTCTCTTGTACAGATTTTATGGAAAGAACTCTTCTTATGCCCACGGGGGCTTGGATTCCAACGGGAAGCCAGCGGATGCAGTCTACGGGCAGAAGGTGGGTGCTATGGACCAGTAGCAGCAGAGGAGATAGTTTCTTGTCTGCCAGGCAGCTGGTCCTAGAGGGGTGACTCCTGTTTAGTTCCTTGGTTTGCTGAAATGCCTGTGTGTTGTCACATTACGTGTCTGTGTTAGATAACTGGCTTCTGCATAGGAATGTCATTTCTAAACTTTTTTTTTTTTTTTTTTTTTTTTTGGTTTTTCGAGACAGGGTTTCTCTGTGTAGCTTTGCGCCTTTCCTGGAACTCACTTGGTAGACCAGGCTGGCCTCGAACTCACAGAGATCCGCCTGGCTCTGCCTCCCGAGTGCTGGGATTAAAGGCGTGCGCCACCACCGCCCGGCTCATTTCTAAACTTAAAAGGTGTTCATTTCCCGGGCGGTGGTGGCGCACGCCTTTAATCCCAGCACTCGGGAGGCAGAGCCAGGCGGATCTCTGTGAGTTCGAGGCCAGCCTGGTCTCCAAAGTGAGTTCCAGGAAAGGCACAAAGCTACACAGAGAAACCCTGTCTCGGAAAAAACCAAAAAAAAAAAAAAAAAAAAAAAAAAAAGGTGTTCATTCAAGACAGCTTTTTTTTTTTCTCTCTCGAGACAGGGTTTCTCTGTGTAGTTTTGGTGCCTGTCCTGGATCTCGCTCTGTAGACCAGGTTGGCCTTGAACTCAGAAATGTGCCTGGCTCTGCCTCTCGAATGCTGGGGATTAAAGGTGTGTGCCACCACCGCCTGGCTCAAGACAGCTTTTTTTTTTTTTTTGATTTTTTTTTTTTTGGTTTTTTCGAGACAGGGTTTCTCTGTGTAGCTTTGCGCCTCTCCTGGAACTCACTTGGTAGCCCAGGCTGGCCTCGAACTCACAGAGATCCGCCTGGCTCTGCCTCCCGAGTGCTGGGATTAAAGGCGTGCGCCACCACCGCCCGGCTTCAAGACAGCTTTTTGAAACATGATTTTGATATATGTTTTTCGCTGTCCGGGAGCTTGCTATGTATGTCTGTCCAGCCTCCTGCCTCAGCTTCTTAAGTGCTTGAATTATACATGTGGCAGGACAGTTATTTTTAAGGGGCTGAGCTGTGATCACTGGAACTAGAGTATACACAGACAGTTGAATTGTATTGTAACAACAGCGGAACTGGAGCACAGACAGACAGACAGTTGAGCTGTATTTTAACAACAGCAGAACTGGAGCACAGACAGACAGATAGTTGAATTGTATTATAACAGCAGCAGAACTGGAGCACATACAGATAGACAGACAGACACACACACACACAACACACACACACAGTTGGGCTATATTATAATGGCAATGTATGCATTCTCTATCTGTGTTGTGTTGGGAAATTTTTATTTTATAAAGTTCTTTTAAAGATGTATTTATTTTTGTTTTATATGTGTGTGGATGTTTTGCCAGCATATATGTCTGTGTACCATGCACATGCCTAGTGCCTGAGGAGGCTAGAAGAGTGCTTTGTATCCCCAGGAACTGGAGTTGCAGGTGGTTGAACTGCTGTGTGGGTGCTGAGAACAACACAGGTCCCAGGAAGTGCAGGAAGAGCTCTTAGTCATGGAGCCATCTCTCCATTTAGTGATGTTTGGGGGAATGTGACTGTCATGGTATGCATGTGGAGGTCAAAGGTCACCTTGTCAGGAGCTTTCTGCTTCCTCTTTATAGGCCCTAGAGATCACATGACTATGGTCAGACCCCATAGCAAACACCCTTACCTGCTGAGCCACCTCACCAGCCTGGGATCTATCAATCTGTCTGTCTGTCTTTCTATCTATCAATCTTCTCTCTCTTTTTCTCCCTCCCTCTCTCTCTTTCTCTCTCTAGGTATGACTGGGTATTGTGTAATTTTAAGGTGTTAATTGCAGTACTAGAGAAATCTGGTTGTGTTAACGTGCTGTTCTCACTGCTGAGGCAGAACCCCTGGCAGAAGCAGCTTAGGCAAGAAGGGCTATTGAGGCTCAGGGTTTGAGGGTGTGTTCCATCATGGTGGGGAAGAAACGTAGTAGAAGCACAAGGGAAGTGCTGGTGCTCAGTCCCCCTTCTCTTTTCTACAGTCCAGGACCCTAGCCTATGGATTGGTGCTGTCCATGTTTAGGATGGGTCTTCATTCCATGCTTGACCTAATTTGGACACATGCGCAGAGGATTGTCTCCTAGGTGGTTCTAGGTACCGTCAAGCTGCCTGGAGCCATGGAAAGATTTTTGCCCTTCCGATGTGCTTGTTGTGTTGCTCTTGAGATGGCTTTGATTTTGCTTTGATTGCTTTGCTCAAGGACTGCTTGCAGGAGCAGGAGGTAGGACTGAGTGTCAAGGACCAGATACAAGAGAACACAGGGAGGAGCTGGAGGATCTGCCTGGGTCTGTTTTTGGTGCTGGTAGCTGTTGTCTTAGTTTCTGAACTGCTGAGTTCCTGAGGTATTGACTCTTGCCTCCATTCCTCAGGAAATCCACAGGAAAGTGATGTCACAAAATTTCACCAACTGCCATACCAAGATCCGCCACGTGGATGCTCATGCCACTCTGAACGACGGGGTGGTGGTCCAAGTGATGGGGCTACTGTCCAACAATAACCAGGCTCTACGGAGGTTCATGCAGACCTTTGTCCTTGCTCCTGAGGTATGTTGCATGATGGCTGTTGGCTCTGTAGTGATGGAGCACGGAGACACTAAAAACTGTGTAGTCACTGGATTTCTGGCAGCCCAGGGTTATAGGAATGGCTACAGGGGCAGAGCTGCTTTGTCCTTCTGTCCTGGAGCTAGGGTGTTCTCACTAGCCCAGGGAGCTGTGTTATTGGGGGATCTCTTCCTTCTAAACCATCTGAAATGAGGGACACTTTGTATCCATTCATCTGGCATCTTCTCAGGACAAGGAATTCTGTCCCATAACAGAATTTGTTAGCAAATTCAGGAAATACTACTCAGTATAACTTGATCCACATTTAAATTTCAGGAAATATGCCAGTATAGTCTTCCATGTAGTTTGTTTTTTCTGAGCTAAGATTCTGTATCTAACTGTCCGTTGTGTTCCTCTGGTAGTGTGTCTCTGGTTCCTGTCATTTATAGCACCTTCTTACTCTTCTGATTTGCTTGGCCTTGACAGTTCTGAAGAGCACAGTCACATGGTGTCCACACTTGATGTGTTTTTCTTCTAGTCATCATTCAGTGCCATGATGCCATTTAGTGGCTCTGGTTTCCCAGGTAACGTGTGCAGGTCTTGCCACTGAAGTCAGGTAGCTTTTGTATCTAGTTTGTAAGCTGTGACCAATTCTTGGATCCTGTAGAGACATGCTGCTTGCTATCAGTTTTGTATGCTGTCATTGGTCTTCATGGGAGGCTCTTGACTCAGTGCAAGGATGACAGATGGGAATGTCTGGTCCCATCCACTACCCTGTGTTCATTTATTGGCATTATCTTATAAAGAAACCCCCCACCATCATTCATGTATATCTAGTATATTTAGTGAGTTATGATTCATTAATAACTCTTCAGCATATCCCTATGTCCTGGGCTTAGTCAGTGGGAACCCTTCATGCTGTCCTGTTCTGGTATGGGCACAGGATGCTTTATGTCCTTGTGCTGGCCCTGGCTCCTTAAGCCCTGTTTGGGAATTAGCTTGTTCTGTTTGTTCATGGTGGTTCCTTGTAGGTAGGCTTCTGAAGATTCCACAGGTAGATGATGAGGGATGCCATCTGTGCCTTCAGAGAGCAGGGGCAGGAAGCTGCATAAGTGTGGAATCTCCTTATAAGGACTTGCTGAATAAGTGTTTTCTCCTGCATTCATCTAAAACAATTCTATTTAGGATAGTAAGATTACTACCCCTATCTTTAAAAGAATTTTTGGAGTAGATGGGGCTTTTTTAAGACAGGGTTTCTTTGTGTAGTACTGGCTGTCCTGGAACTTGTTCTTTAGACCAGGCTGGTCTCAAACTCAGATCTGCCTGTGCTGGGATTAAAGGCATGCACCTCTGCCACCTGGCAGATATTTTTGTTTTGAGACAGAACATCATTATGTAGCTTAGACTGTCCTGGACATCACAGAGATCCTCCTGCCTCAGCCTCCCAAGAGCTAGGATTGCAGGTATGTACCACCATTGAGTGTGTAGTTGAGATTTTTGAAGGAAGACTTATATTAAAGTGTAAAATACTTGACAGCCATGCTGGTGCATACATGTAATTCCAGTTTTAAAACCTTTTTGTTTTATGTGTGGGGGTGTTTTGTCTGCATGCAGTAGTGAGCTCAGAGGCCAGAAGAGGGCAGTGCATCTCCATGTGGGTGCTGGAACCAGAGCCTGGTTCTCCTGCAAAAGCAGCCAATCTTAACCACTGAGCCATCTTTCCAGTCCAGCAATTCCAGCTTTTGAGAGGCTGAGGCAGGAGGTTTGCTAGCTTGAGGTCAGTCTACAGTAAACCAAGAGGTGATGTCTCAAAAGGAGGCGGGGGACTGATGACTTCCGTATGGGGAGAATTTTACAGCCTTGTATTGCTAATTACAGGCTCATCATAGTTCATTTTTGTCTTTCAATGGAAGCATTTATCTCCCTTAAGAAAATGTATTGTTGCATAAACCATCTCAATACACCAAGTACTATGGTATGTTTTGATATCCCACTTTTTGTGGTTGAGAGAGCAACCTAAGAAATTGAACAGCCAATAAATGAGATGATTGAATTTGGGCTCAAGTGTGTCTAAACCCACATGAGAAATCTTTTGAGTTTTATTACCATAAGTACTTGTTCTTGGATTAATGTTCTTACATAAGAGTTAGGGCATTTAAATACCTCCTTGAGTTGAGACTACAGTGCCTCTAAATGGTCGAAAAGTCTTTGGCATCCTATGCAAGAGTTTTACTGATTTTTTTTTTTCCCCCTATGTGAGTGACCATCTGGTGGTAAGGATGAATATTTTAACAATATGTCTGCGTGGTTCTTTACAAATGTATGAACAGGATTTCACACAGTAGGGCATTCAGTCTTGGCACAGATGGCATCTGCTGTCGTGAGTGCTGCTACCATTAGGGTTCTCCCTGTTCTTGCCTTAGCAGTTATCAGCCCCATTGTTAAAACAGAAATGTTTCTAGATGGTGCCAGATGTCGGCTGGGGCAAAATCTCCTGTAGCTGAGAGCTGCTGGTGTAGGGATTTGTTTTTTGGTTTTTAAAGGAAGGAAGAGTTTGCTTTGGTTCGCTTTTGAAGGGTGCAGCCCATCATGGCAGTGAAGTCAGGCAGTGGGAATAGGAGGCAGCTGCCTACAGTGCATCAGAAGCAGGAAGTAGAGAGATGAATGCTCATGATTCAGGTTTTTATAAGTCTGAATAACTGAAAACTTGTTGCTGACATTGCAGGGCTCTGTTGCCAACAAATTCTATGTTCACAACGACATCTTCAGATACCAAGATGAGGTCTTTGGTGGCTTTGTCACCGAGCCTCAGGAGGGTAAGTGTGAAGCCATAGACACAGTTACTTGTGTGGAATTTGTGAATGGCATCAGGTTGACTTATGAGAATGTTTATTGTTACAATGTGTATTTTATGAATGAGTCTTATCAGCGTGGGATCTGCAGGTATTATCTTAGTTAATGTGAATGGTTAGTTTCTCCTGGGTCAGAAGCAGACCAGTTAGCCCGGCTCAGTGTAGGACACCATGCAGAAGGCCTGGCACACCCGTGCTGCTCTGAGTGCTAGTGTGCAGCCTCCTCACGGAACCCGTTTGTAGAATGGGCAGTCGAGGAGCTTGTCTTTTCTATGCAGGGAATGCCGTTCTAAAGCTTTGTGCTGGTGTAGATAACGGCTGGAAGAAAGGACATGGTGGAGTGTGCAGAGTAGTCTCTGTGTGTCCCACCCGGCTCTAAGTAGAGGCCTGTTAGGTCCACTCCTCCATCCTATAAGCTAGGTGACTGCTAACAAGGTGGGGTGGCCTGCTGCAGACGCACGTTGTGGTTTTTGCTTTTTTTTTTTTTTTTGTCACTTTATTGAGCCCGTTCCACAGTGTTCCTCACAAAAGCTGACATTTTCTTTCTGAGAAGGGATTTTTGCATCAGTCTTTGTTACTGTTAACTGAATCCCTGGGAAAGGGGGAGTTACTTTTGAGGGTATAGATTTGAGAGGTTCCCAGACCTACTGTTTTCCTCTGGGGTTTAGGCCACCCTGATGAGAACCATGTGACCACAGCAGTGGGCAAAGACTGAATTCACATGCCAGCTCGTTCTCTAGTCCCACAGTTTACTTGGCTGTATGAGTTCCTTCCGGGCTGGCCTTTGCAATAAACACAGGTGCTCTGTGGGTTGCTCTTCACTCCTTTTGTGTATTTGATTTTCTCAGCTAAGACAGATGGGAGGCTGAGGAGCCCAGTGCAGAGTAACCTTCCCTACCCATCCCAGAATTCAGAACAATTACAGATCCTACAAATGTCTCTCTTGTCGTGATAAAATACCCCAACTTTGGAAAGAAAGGGTTTATTTTGGCTCGCAGTTTAAGGGGGACAGGTTCGTCATGGTGGGGGAGGCATGGTGACAGGCTGATAGGGCATGTGGCAGGAGCAGGAAGCTGGCCCGTCACATTGCATCAACACACAGGAAGCAGAGAGCCTTTTCCTTTTAAAGAGTCTGTACTTAATGAAAATGCTGAATTTTTCCCTTTAAGTCTGTGCCTTGACTTTACCAAAGTGCCCTGCTTTCTTTCCTGTGTTTTTCTTTGTGTCTGTAGTAGAAACTGTAAATTAAGGAACTTGTGGGTTTAGAGTGATCGTAATTATTTTACATATTTTCCTCTTAGAATCTGAGGAAGAAGTAGAAGAACCTGAAGAAAGACAGCAGACACCTGAGGTGGTGCCTGATGATTCTGGAACTTTCTATGATCAGACTGTCAGGTAAGGGAACTTCTCTTCACGTGTCTAGACTTGCAACAAGAAGTTGCATTGTGTTGGAGCAGACGTGTCTTCTAAGGATTAATCTCAGGCAATGAAATGGGCAGGGGCTGGGTGTTTGTATCAGTGGGTAGAGGGATTGCCTAGTATACTCCAGATCCTGGGTTTGATTCTCAGCATTGCCTAAGTCGGGTGTGGAGAGATACCTGTAATCCTGCTGTTCCAGAGGCTGAGGTGAGAGGATTGCTGTGAATTTGAACATATCCTGGAGGGGCTGTGGAATGAGACTCTCCAGTGAGGAAAGCTATGGTAATTTTCTAGGAAAATGTTTTGTGTTATTTCTGACTAGATAGCAATATGCAACTTGTTTATTTTTATGGCATATACTGTGAAAACTGTTTAGATAATGTTTGAGTTGCTTTTGGTTCAGGTTACTAATTGTCGTGGAGATAGGAGCTCACTTTGTAGCTGAGGCTAGCCTGGAACTCTTAGGATCATCTGTCCTAGCCTTCTAGATGCTGGGCTTACAGGTGTGCACACAAGTATCAGAAGAATTTACTTAACTAGATGAATAAAATTTCAAACCCATAAGCTAACTAGTAATAATGAGAAGTTTCACAGCCCAGTACTATGGCTCAGAGAAGGCTGGGTGGCTCAGGATGACCTGTGTTTGATTCCTGAAACACCCATGATGGAAGGAGAGAACTCACTCCTGCAAGCTGTCCTCTGGCCTCCATGGGTATACCGGGATACATGTGTGCAGCCCTCCTCCCCATAAGTCAATGCAATAAAGATTGTTAAGGTTGTCCTGGGGGCTGGAGAGACTGCTCAGCTGCGATAAGAGCACTTGTGGCTCTTGCAGAAGACTTGAGTTTAGTTCCCACCACCCACATGGTGGCTTAGACACTCTTAACTCCAGTTTCAGGGGTTCTGATGTGTTCTTCTGGCCTCCAAAGGCCCTGGCATGGATGTGTATACACTCAGAAACATACATAGACATATAAAAAGTAATTTTTAAGTCAAGTTTTGGGTTACACCCTTTTTAAAAATTATTTTTTCATGACCTCAAACAATGAGTATAGTGTTGTTTTTGCTTTTTTTATTGTCCTGGTCCTAGGGCAGAAATGTTTTTAATGGGCCAAAATGTGTACTGTTGTCATGGATGTCCCATGTGTCAATACTCAGTGCTCAAAGCCCCTTTCAAACCTTTATCAAAGTATGGTCATACCTGTTCACTCTGGCTGAGTGAAGAATGTGTTTAACCACAGACCTACTGAGGTCCGGTGCCCAGAGGAAAAACATGGCCAGGGACAGTGTGTGTTGGCAACTGGTGTGGAAATGTAACCACTGTTTGGAGGTGTAACTGATGTCTTCTCTCCCAGAATTCCTTGTGGCCTTTTTTTAAAAAAAGATTTATCTATGTATTTTGTGTTTTGTCTACATGTATGTCTGTACACCAGAATAGGGCATCAGCTCACATTGTGAGCCGCTATGTGAATGCTGGGAATTGAACTCAGTGCCTTAGGGAAGAGCAGCCATCTAAGTCGTCTCTCCAGCCCCCTTGTGTGTTTTTATGGGAGCTGTTTTTTTGTGGCTAAAGGCATAGATAGTAACATTTGCTATCTTGGATTTTGAAGCTAACTGGCTTCACTAGCCTTGCTGTGCCTGAGCTAGGCCTCAGAGATCAGAGAGTTTGATCTTTCTCCATTCAATACAATGGTTCTTTGATCCATATAAATAAGCTAATTAATAGTAACTGAAGCACTTGACTCTGCTTTGATCCTTAAGATCGTATGTTCGTCAGAATTTAGCAAACAAGCTCTTGTCCTGAGACCTTTCTCTTATGTCATAGGTGGCTCCAAGTGTCTGGGTGGGTCATAGAGACAGGCTTATGTTTCTCAAATTCTCCCGTGACAGCAATGACTTGGAGGAGCATTTAGAGGAACCTGTTGTGGAGCCAGAACCGGAGCCGGAGCCGGAGCCAGAACCGGAACCTGTGCCTGACATCCAAGAGGACAAGCCTGAGCCTGCATTGGAGGAAGCTGCTCCGGAGGATGTGCAAAAGAGCACTTCCCCGGCCCCCGCAGATGTCGCCCCAGCACAGGAGGACTTAAGGGTATGGCTTGTGGCTTAGCACTGTGTTCCTGTGCTGAAGATCAGTCCCAGGGTGTCGGTAGATGTGCAGTGTCCTAGCGTTGGCCGCTCCAGAACTCTTTCTGTTTTGAGACTGATTCTCATGTCTCCTAGGCTGGCCTCAAATAATCCTCTGACCTCCATCTCCTGAGAACTGGGAATGTAGTTATGTCCCATCAGTCCTAACTTTGAAGACACTGGGGACTGAGCCACATCCTCACTCTCTGCTAATTTGTTTATTTATTTGTTTTGGTCTTTTGAGAAGGGTTTCTCTGTGTAGCCCTGGCTCTCCTGGAACTTGCTCTATAGACCAGGCTGGTGTTGAACTCAGAGAGAGATCCACCTGCTTCAGCCTTCCAAGGACTGTGATTAAACACCTGCACCTAGCCTTCAGCTAGTTTTTAAAATCTCTTTTTCTCAATCGTAATTACTTTGGTTGACTTTGAGCTGGTCTCACTGTATAGCCTTTCTTAGTCCCCTAAGTATTGGGATTATAGGGGGGTGTATTGGTATGCTTGACTGCTTCCAAGACAGTTTTGTAAGCTGTACTGTTTGTAAGCTGGCACATGCTTGTAGACTCTGCCTGTGATTGATGCAGAAAGGTGTATGTATGGGAAGCAGACATTAATGACTCTATGTTGCTCTGATGTGTCTTGTTCTTCCCTAGACGTTTTCTTGGGCATCTGTGACTAGTAAGAACCTTCCTCCCAGTGGGGCTGTTCCAGTGACAGGGACACCACCTCATGTGGTAAAAGTGCCGCCTTCACAGGTAAGGGTCTGAATCTAGGACTTGGGGTAACTTAACTGCTTTGGAAGGTTTAGAGAATGGGATCCTGGTATACAGGGAAGGGGGGAGGCTAGCAGGTGGTGGTGTCTTACTAGTGTGGTGAACTATGCAGTAGCTAGAGTAGCACTTGGCCAGAAAGCAGGGCCTTTTTTGGTTTGTATAAAGTTTTCTTTCTATGAATGTGGACACACAGGTCTGTGCATGCATATAGAGACCAGAGGCCAACACCAGATGTTGTTCCTCAGGAGCTGTGCACTTTGGTTTTTTGTTTTGTTTAGTTCTTGTTTTTGAGACAGGGTCTTTGTAGACCTGGGGCTCTTAGATTAGGTGAGGTTAGCTAGTCAGTGATCCTCAGGGAGCTACCTATCCTCCTTGGAGCCAGAATTGCTATTTTCTAGCTTAATAATTTTGTTTAAGAAAATCGACAAGGGGCGGGAGAGATGGCTCAGCTGTTAGGAACATTTACTGCTCCCCAATGGGGGATCAATTCCCAGCATCCACACAGTGGCTCCAGTCCTCAGGGATCCAGTGTATAGATGATGCATGTACTTTGCACAGAGATTCATACAGAAACACATAGTTAAAAAAATTATTCTTATTGTTTGGGTATGGTTATTTTGCCTGCAAGTATATTTGTGCATCATGTACCTATCTGCTGTCCTTGGAGGCCAGAAGAGGGCATAGTGATTCCCTGGGACTGCAGTTATAGTTATGAGCAACCAGGGGGTACTGGGAATCAAACTTTGGTTCTTAGTGCTCTTAACTCTGAACCATCTCTCCTGCCCTACATATATAATTTTTTTTAAGTTAAAAAAAAATGTGTGTGGGGGTAGGTGGCTGGATTATGGCTCAGTGGTTAAGAGCTCTTACTGCTCTTGCAGAGGATCTGGGTTCAATTTGCAGCACCTGAGTGGCTCACAACCATCTGTAACTCCAGTTCCAAGGGGTCCAGTGCTCTCTTTTGGCCTTTTCCAACCCAAGACATACGCATAGTGCATAGATGTGCATGCAAGCAAAAGCTCCTACACATAGGATGAGAAAGAAATAACAAGGCTGATGAGATGGCTTAGTGGATAAAGAAAGGCACCAAGTCTCACAGCCTGAGTTGGATATGTGGGACCTACTTGTGTGTGTATGGCATGTGCATAGCATGTCTGCACTTACACACAACACATGTAATTAAGTTTGTTTTAAAAGAAAATTAATATCAGATAAGCAAAGGGTAATTAGTAACCTTTTTTAGCCCCGTCCAGAATCTAAGCCTGAATCTCAGATTCCACCACAAAGGCCTCAGAGAGATCAGAGAGTTCGAGAGCAACGGATCAATATCCCTCCTCAGAGGGGACCCCGGCCAAGTAAGAGCTTTGGAGACTTGTCTAGCTGGTGGTTTGAGATGGGAACAACTTCTCTGGGTCTGCTTGGTGTGGTAGAATGACTTGGTTTGGGGCGGAGGGAAACTTGTTCATGAAGAGTCTCTGAGAGTCTGTTTTGTCTCTGAAGTCCGTGAGGCTGGTGAAGCAGGAGATGTGGAGCCTCGGAGGATGGTGAGGCACCCTGACAGTCACCAGCTCTTCATTGGGAACCTGCCACATGAGGTTGACAAGTCGGAACTGAAGGACTTTTTCCAAAGTAGGTGCTGAGTCTCCGTGTCCTGACTTCCTAAGCAGCCTCACATAGTGGAGGCACAGGTGTAGTGTCAGCTCTTCTAGTGGCAAGGAGCAGAGACTTAATGATCTGTTTAGTCCAGTGCTTGAGTGAACCTTCACTTCCACAAACATGAGTTTCACTCCAAAATAACGGATGTCATAACTGCCACTTCCCTAGAGCGTGACATCAAGTGGAAAATTCTACCCTGACCTCAGTATCATGAGATGTAGGCATACTACAGTGTTGTATAAAACTCTTTACAGGGCATGTAAGGATCATGTGAGACATAATGCACTTGGGTCCTCTCTCCAAGATCTAAAATTCACAAAGCCCATAGCCTGAAACACTTAGATCTTGGTTATGAGCATTCATCTGAGGGGCATTTGAATTCTTTGCATTTTAGTGTGACATCTTTGAAATCAAGTGTGCATTTTCGATTCATAGCACATCTTTGTTTGATGTGAAACCGAGTGCTGGGTAAGCTGGGTGTCTGCAGAGAAGTCATGAGCTCTTTGCACTTACAGATTATGGGAACGTGGTGGAGTTGCGCATTAACAGTGGTGGGAAGTTACCCAACTTCGGTTTTGTTGTGTTTGATGATTCTGAGCCTGTTCAGAAGGTCCTTAACAACAGGGTAAGCAACTTTGCATCTCTGTGTGTGTTTTGTCTGCATTGATATATGTGTGCCAGGTGTGTGCAGTGCCCTCATAAGTAAGAAAAGTGGGGGAACATCCCCTGGAACTGGAGTTACCGTTTTATTTATTTATTTATTTTCTTATTTTCGAGACAGGATTTCTCTGTGTAGTTTTGGTGCCTTTCCTGGATCTTGCTCTGTAGACCAGGCTGGCCTCGAACTCAGAGAGATCCACCTGGCTCCGCCTCCCGAGTGCTGGGATTAAAGGCGTGCTCCACCGCCTCCTGTTGGTGAAACTGGAGTTATCTATTTTGATAACTTCAATTGTACTGGCAGATGACTCTTGAGGTGCTCTCGACTTTCTCTCCATGTTGCTGTGCGGGTGAAGGTTCTGCACTCACTTCATAGTCTGTTTTTTTTTTTCCTCTTTTTGTGGGTTCAACACTAGCTCACTGAGTATCACTTTCCATCCAAGAGGCCCTGTTCACATTCTTCTTCAGGTGCCTTACTTTCTTATCGTTGAGCTGTTTTATTTAAGTCAGTTTCATGATGTTTTTACTTGAGGTACCGTATTCTGCCCAGTAACCCCAAAGCTGACGAGGCATCTTTTTTTTGGTTTTTGGAGACAGGGTTTCTCTGTGCAGCTTTGCACTTTTCCTGGATCTAGTTCTGTAGACCAGGCTGGCCTCGAACTCACAGAGATCCGCCTGGCTCTGCCTCCTGAGTGTTGGGATTAAAGGCGTGCGCCACCACGGCCCAACCTGAGGAGGCATCTTTATGTCATTGTTTACCTGAAATTTGCTTTAGTTACTAGTGAGTTACTTGTGTTTCAGGGCTGTTCAATTTGCCACTCTTCTACTCCCCACATAAGCACGTAACTGGTAACAGGGAGTTCACCAGAGAAGCAGGTTTGTGAGCTGGTGGAAGCTGCTTCTCCTGAGGGAGGCTTTGTTCCCTTTCCCAGTCAGGAGCTGGTCTCAGTGTCTGCTTTCCTTGTTCCTCACAGCCCATCATGTTCCGAGGTGCGGTCCGTCTGAACGTGGAAGAGAAGAAGACCCGTGCTGCCAGGGAAGGAGACCGCAGGGATAACCGCCTTCGGGGACCCGGAGGCCCCCGTGGTGGCCCGAGTGGTGGGATGAGAGGCCCTCCCCGAGGAGGCATGGTGCAGAAACCAGGCTTTGGTGTGGGCAGGGGGATTACAACTCCAAGGCAGTGAATTGCTTGGCCCAGATCTCCACACAGCACACAGCCCTGGCTCCTGAAGAATGGTGAATTCCTTCAACCAGCCTTTGGTGTCTCAGAGTAGTCTATTATAAACTGCTCGAGTTTGTACAATTTTCATTTCGCTTGTGTTCATGGTGTGTGCCCCTCCACTCCCCCTTTCCTCCCTGACCTTTTAGTCCTTCACTTCCAGTTTTCCGGAACGCTACTTTAGGAGGAGTAGGTTTTTAAGGAAGAGGGGAGGCTCGCCTTCCTGCCCACACCGCAGATACAGACTGGAGTTTAACAGCCGTTCCCCAAGGAGCGCGTCTCGCTTTTCACTGACAGTGGATGTTTCATCTGTTGGGAGACACAGGATTTGATAAACATTTTGGAAGCAGGAAAATCCATATTACCTGTCGAGAGTCACGACTCCTTTCTGGTGTGGAAAAATTGCCTTTTGGCAACTGCCGCTGGGTCCCTGCTGGTGTGGCTAACTGAATAAAAGGTGTTTCCAGAACTTTGTTCTTTTGACATGTGATTACCAAACAGTTCTAAACCTGTTTTTACCATTGGATTTTAAATTGTGACGTAGCCTGTCAATGTCTAGAATGCAGCTAAGGATTTTTTTGTTGAACTGTTAGGTTTTTTTTTGTTTTTTTTTTTTTTTTTGAGGTAGAGTTTTTCATGTTTTATTTGTATTTGTAAAAAAAAAAAGAAAGAAAAGAAAAAAAAAAAAAGGACAAAAAATCCCCATGAGAAAACAAACCCCCAATCTGATAACAAAACCAAGCAAAACTGTGCCTTCTATTTATCTTTGATTCTGGTCCTGACAATTGTTTAAAGAAAAGTAATAAAGATTCTAGATTTGTGTTCAGATTCAGAGTATGTGGGGGAACTGTAGAATTTTTTTTTTTTTGATCACGTGTATGTGTTGTGTTAACATTGTTCTGCCTTATCCTGAAATCACGCCTCAGACTGGACCGCTTTTGAGGAAGGTGCTTCTGTGAGGCCTCTGACCTCAGTGGCTGATGGCCACGTTCTACTCTGCTGTCTATCTGGGTTCCTTAGGGGCCCGTCAGAAGGATTTGGCTTGAATCTTGGACTTGGCTAATGTGCTCCAGGGTCTGCATATTTTTTTTTTTTTCTTTAAATCATAGCCATATGGTAAATTTTCTATTTTGTTACGGTTCTCTTTTACTGATGGACATGCAGTGGGTGTTTCTTGGAAAAGGCCAATTTTTATTAAAATATTTCTGGAAGAAAACTTCATCTGGCAATGTAGACTGCTAAAACTCACTTCACAGTGTTGTGTTGAGTGTTGTGTGTGAGATGGGTGAAGGTTTTGTTTACACAGCTTCAGTGTGTGGGTAACCAGATTGTCAAATCTAACTTTTCCTAATGTTTTTTTTGTGTGTGTATGTATGGGGGGTGTATTCACACATGGGTGTACCACAGCGTACTTGTGGATATCCGAGGACAAATTGTGTGCAGTCCTTATATTCCACCCTGTTTCAGACAGTCTGTCCTTTTTCTTGCATAGGCCAGGCTAACTGGCCCATAGCTACAAGTTCCCAGGGATCCTCTCATCTTGCTGTAAGCACAGGGACTGCAGACATAAGCCGTGTCTGGCTTTTCTGTGGGTTCTGGGGATTAATCAAGTCTTTAGACTTGCACATAGCACGTCTGCCAGTCATCTCCCTAGCCCTCTCATGTTCGTTTGGAGAACTGTCATGGATGGGTAAGTGTTACAGTTTTGTTGTTTGAAAGGGTAGTTTGGGTGAAAATGATGAAGTTATCGGTCTGGTCTCAGTACCTCACAGATCTGAATATTGGCAGCATCTACACATGAGGCAGCCTAGTCACATGACTGTTTTAGGGTTAGTTTAAATATTTTCATTTGTTTTAGGCCAGTGATTATAGGATAAAGTGTTCAGCATGTACTACTACAGAAGTAGATCACGTAAAGATTTTGGTGACAAGAAAGACAACAGCCACGTGTGGTGGCACATGAATTTAATCCCAGTACTCAGGAGGCAGAAGCGTGTAGATCTGTGTGAGGCTAACCTGGTTTATGAAGCAATTTCCAGTCTGGCCAAGGCTGCATAGTGTGACGTCAAAAATCAAAACAAAAAGGCAGCCAAAGGAAAAAAGGTATCCTAGATTACTTCTGAAAAAAAAAAATTGAGGCGGTGCACTTTGGCATAGGCCTGTAGTCTCAGATACTAGAGAGCCCCAGGCACAGGGAAATTTCAAGTTCAAGGCCAGTCTGACCTATGTAATACGGTCTCTCTAAGTTTCAGTAACTCAGGTAAATCTAAAAATGATTTTCACAATTGTACTAAGTCAGATGGAAGTTCTTCCTCGCCAGGAGTACTAACCTACTGAGGCGATTGACATTTGACAGTACAAGGTGAGGAGGTGTCTTGGGATCAGCACTGCCCCTCATATTCTCTGTGGGTCAAGGGTGATCAGGATTGATCTGAGAAATAAAACAGTTTCCTGTGGGTACATGGAATGGTGGTGGGATCGGGAGATAAAAGTCCCGTCTCTTTGGCCTCAGATAAGTGGGAAGTGTAGATCTCCATGACCTCTCTGTATTGCGTGGGTGCATGTGTGCATGTGTATAGGGATGTAGCAGTATGCCTGAATTGCTTGTGACTAGCCCCACTTCGCAGCGGTGGGATTGGGATGGGGATGTGCTTTGAAAGTGCATGGGCCTGATGGGACTTGGCAGCACAGTTTACATTGCTGAGAATCTGGATGTCAGTACTGACACCACTCAAATCCTAAATCTCAGTGCTTAGAGGCAGGTAGATGTTTATGGCCACGTAGAAAGCACAGGGTTTTTCTGTATGTATGAGGCTGACTCTTACAGCCTCAGATCAAATTAAGATTTGATCTGTAGGGATGACTCTGGATAGTTCTTTGTTATTGAGTGGGGTCTTAACCTGGACCTGTGATGGATTTTTTTATTTATGTGTACATGTGTGTATGTTTGTGTGAATGTTGGCTATGTGTGTGCAGGTGACTTAGGAGGCCAGGTGATGTTGATGACTCGCTGGAGCTGGAGTTACAGGTAAGTGAGCCTTCCTACATAGGTGCTGGGAACCGAACCCATGTCCTGGAAGAGCAGCAAAATGCTCTTAGCCACTGGGCATCTCTCCAGCCCTGAATCTTTGTCAGACATAAGTAAATCTTAAACAAAACTGTTTTATTTGTTTTCATGGTGAGATGGTACTGCCATGTTCTTCGATCTCATCTGCTGCTCTGGAGCAGTGGGAATTGGATAGTTAAAATACAGGCCTGTGGCACATACTTGTAATCCTGGTGTTCAGGAGGCTGAGGTGAGAGGATTGTGAGTTCAAAACCAACCTCAATTACAAACCATGAGCCTGTCTCAAAGACAATGCAGCAAGAAACAAGTGAACTCACTTAATTTTCATATCCACCCTGTGGAACAAGGGGAAGATATGGCATGAAGCAGTTGAGTGAGCAGGGCTTCCAGGAGCAGGTGGGGTTCTAGGCAGCACCTATTGTGTTGAACCAGGAGCCCGCGTCCAGCGAGTGCCTGTGAACCAGGTATTCCTAGAGTGGGATCGCCACTGCACAGACCTGAGTTGCTGTAACATTCAGAACACAGTAGCGCCCCTGTTCCTTTAGGAAAGTAAACTCATCGATTGCTTATAGAACTGGTGTTCTGCCCCCACTCCCCTTAGAGATGGATGCATTTACTGTCTTAGCAAGCTGTTTTTTTGTAAGAAGGGCGGGGGAAGGGTACAGGTGTGTGTGTGTGTGTGTGTGTGTGTGTGTGTATGTGTGTGTGTGTAAGCCAGAGGCCAGAGGAGATAGCCTTGAGTGTTCCCCAGGAGTCATCCACTTTTTTTTTTTGAGATGGCCTCACTACGTAGCTGTAGTTGTTCTGGAACTTGCCTCCTCTTTAACTCACAGAGATCCACCTCCTTCTGCCTGTCAGATGTTGGGCCTGTGGCACACACTTGCAATCCTGGTGCTCAGGAGGCTGAGTAGGTGTACTGGGAGGCACCTACGTTGACGTTCCTAAGTGATGCCTGAGTCTGTGATTGGAGTCAGTGAGGTGTGCAAGCCCGTATCAGGCTCTCCTTGTTCTTTGAAATAAGGCTTTCTCACTGGGACCTGTTGCTCTCGTTAGGCTAGGTAGCTGGCCAGTGAGCTCAGGGCGTCCACCTGTCTGCCTCCCCAGTGCAGGATTACAAGTGTGTCTCCCGACACCCAGCTTTTATGTTCTGCAGACTGAACTCAGGTCCTCAGGCTTGTGCGGCAGGCATTTTACAGAATGAACAGTTTCTCCAGCCTTGCTAATGTGATGCTTTAAGAGCTGAAACTCACCTGCCATTTTCTCTGAGGTCTTTCAGCATTCTGTATCTGGTGTGTTGGTGCTTTTAGTCCCCAGGGGCAGTGTTTGGGGCGGAAGCACTGCCCTGTCGCCTTCCTGCCAGGCTATATGAGCCACGTTATGTATCAATGGCCTGTTCTTTTTCACACGATTCACTCGTGAGGCGAGGCTCCAGCTCGTGGAATGACAAGAGTCCCCATGGTATTCCTGGACATGCTAAGCCCATAGCTTCCCGTGCCTTCTCTTCCCCAAACATGGGCATGTGCCCCCAGCCCCATCTCTGTTTCTTACCAGTTTTTGTCAAGACCCAGTTCACTGTTAGAATTGTAAGTGAACAAATTCACCTCCCTTTCATTTTGTTTTGTCCCTATTTGAAGTTCTGTCCCATTCATTGTCATAAGTAGTGTCTTCCTGGAGGACTCTTTCTCATGGTTCAGCCTAGAGTTGGAATTAGCTTTTTACCACTGTTAAGTTCTTAGGGAACTGAGAACAGATGCTTAATTTCTGTATCCCACAGGGAGGCACCTACCTTGAAGTCCCTAAGTGATGACTGAGTCAGTGACTGGAGATAGATAGCCTTCCATCAATTTCAGATTGTGTGACATTTCAGTACAGGAAATTCTTGGAAGACTGGGGGGTGGAAGTAGGGGGTCTATTAAGGAAGCCTGTGGTCTGAGTATTCTTCCTGGATGTCCTTAGTCCATTGTAGGCATTGTCCCTGCAGGACAACTGATTTCTCACAAACTCGCTACCCATGCTCCACCCTGCTCGAAGGGACCAGTCAGTTTCCCTCCATTCCTCCCTGCATCCAGTCTTCAGAAAAGTCCCATCATGCTACCTCAACAGACTTGACACCACACTCCTCCCACCCCATGACGTCACTGGTCTCCGCTCATCATTAGATTAATCTTTCTGAACCAGCCCTGGCCTTGTAGCCCACATGTGTTTTTTTCTCTCTCTCACCACCCCCATAGACTGTAAGCTCTTTGTGGCAGGATCTGTGAGTGAGTCACCTTCGTTAACCCCCAGTGGTACCTACCAATAAATATTGACTAAACAAATGAGTTCTCACTTCTCACTATGAAGTCCTTCTAGTGAAATGCTTCCCAGGTTGTACACAGGTTTTTCTCTGGGGGTAACTGTAGGATTTCAGAAGTTCTCACAAGATTGGCGAAGTCTAACAATTAGGAGTTAATCACAGAAAATTTCAGAAAACTTTAATTTTTTTTCATTAGAATTGGCATGGATATGTGTCTATGGATGGCTCAATAAATATACTTCTATATACAGCACAGAAATTTTACATTCCATCTTTAAATTGCAGAAATAGATTTTTTTTACAAGCTAAAAAGACCCGAACCAAAACAAAACAAAAATAACAAAAACAAACCCTGCCATAACTTTAATGACTTCATGCAAAAAAGGGAAGGGGCCAGAGAGAATTGCCTGTTCAAGGTTGAATGGTCAATGAGACGTAAAAATAGTACATTAAGGAAGCGGTTGCTTAGCACGCTGCTTAAGGTGGGAGCCAGACAGATCCTTAACTGCAGCTTTAAGGCCATACCTAGTTTATACATATGTACAAAGAAGTTTCCATAGAAAACACATGGTCACATTCTCTTCTGGGAAAGGATGAGGAACTTCCGTGAGAGTAATTCAGACCCAATTTTCCAGGTCAATTCATCAGAGATGTCCCCGGACTGCTACTCAGCAATCTGCTTTGGCTATGTGGCTTGTGGAAACCTCTCCCATTGTGGTGATAAAGTACTTTACAGCTCAGCCCACAGTGCCCAGCTAAGCACGACTCTTGCATCCTTTGGACTTAGACAATTGTAGGCATCTTACCTCTAATGGACCCCACATCCACACTGGCACTGTGATAGGAAGGATGGCAGGATGCCCTTGTAGGGTTGAAATGCCCAGGGAGTCTTAACTTCCAGGGAGCATTTCCTACCTGTTTTAAGGGGCTGACTTTTGTCCCTTGTGATTTGTGACACATTTCAGTTGGAAGCTAACTTTACTGGGGAGGGAAAAAGGAAATATAAAGTTACCCAAAGAGCCATCTGTTCTGTCTCAGAACCAAGCCAGAGAACTTTGAAGACAGGTTAGCTTTGTGCAAACACCTAGATGGATGAACTAGAGATGACAAAGGGTAGTCCTTTGGAGGTGACTCTCAGGTCATTCGCTTTGGCAAGGTTTGGGTGAGACTGGGGTGGCACATTGCTCCCATCGGCAGAAGCTAGCTCATTTCAAATGAGTGAATTACATCTGAGGTTCAGGTGAGAATGGAGAGCTTACCAAGTCTGGGAGAAACAAGGCAAATGCAGCAATCACTCCAGGCTTGTAACCACCCAGGCATGTCGAAAGCCGGTCCAGTCTGGTTTGGCAGCCCCGTGGCTTGTTTGAACAGTCACTTCATTTTTACTAGTACCAGCCTTTGAGTAGCACTGTCAAGGACTTGCGTGGATCCCAACAGGACTATCACGAGGTTGATCCTGACAGTAACAAGAGGGCTTCAAATGACTTCCGGTCTTGTCTTGGCCACTTGGTTTTTGAGACAGGGTCCTGCTGCTTAGCTCGGGCAGGACTGGAACTCACTGTGTAGCTCAGGGTTAGGTCTTTCTGATTCTACCGCCTGTGTCCTGGGATTGTAGTCATGCACCACCACAACTGGCTGTCTTGGTCACTTTGTTTATTAGAAGACATGTATTTTATCCAGTTTTTCAAGTTTTTTTTTTTTTTTTTTTTTTTTTAGGCTGCTGCAGTCCCTGCTATGCCAATCTTTTGTAAGCTTAACTCGGGTTGATTAAAAAAAAAAAAATGCGAACATACTCCTCACCTCTTTGTTGTCCGTAGTATACACATCAGCATGCAGTAGGCATTGCATGGGTCCAGTATGAGAAAGAAGGAAGATGAGCCCCTTTGGAGCCCAGCTCGTTCATCTCATTTTAACTTGGTGGCGATATTATTATCATGGCTCCAGCGTTGAAAGATGAAATCGTTATGACATGAAATTGGATGGGTTTAAAATGTGCAATTTATCTCATCCAACACTTCAGCTTCATCGATACCATTCTGGCTAAATTAGCGTGCTGAGAGCACAATGTCTTTTAATATGAGGTAGAAATGCATCTAACATGGAGAACGTTAACCTACCCAACTGCTTGCGTGATCACCCTCCCTTTCAAGCTAAGACTTAGGGACAATCTTTTACAGAGGGAGATACTATAAGCCATCCCCCCAAAATACCCCTCCTAAGTTTGCCAGGGGAAGGAAGGCAAGTTCCTGAGGGGGGGGGGGAAACCCTGTCCTTTTGTGCATTTGCACCTGCAGTGGCATGAACAGCATCTGGTTCCTGTCTGTATTTTCTCCTCCATACCGCTTCTTCCTTGTCTGACCGTGTGCCTGGAATAATTCTTCTCTAGGTTGGGAAATGATTTTTAGATGCGGCTAAGGATGAAAACAACACGTCAGACTTCTTTTCCACCAGGGCTGCTCTTCAGTGAGATCAACAACAAGGTGATGTCTGGCTCACAAACTCAGCTCTAGAAACGCCTTCAGTACACTGCTGAGGATGTGGTTTGGGGGTAGAGCTCTAGCCTCGCATGCCACGGGCTGTGGGTTCAAGCCCCAGCACCACAGCGGGGAGAAGAGAAAGAACACAGGTCTTCACTGTCTGCCGCGTGTGCTCCGCGTCAGTTAACCATGACAGGAAGGACTTTTTTAGTCAGTGTTCTTAGTGAGCTCCGTAAGGAACCACAACTTTTAGGAGACGGTTCAGTCAGTAAAGTGCTTGCTTCACAAACATAAGGACCTGAGTTCGAATCCCCCGACCCATATAGAAGCTGGGTCCAACAACCTTTCACCTACACACACACACACACACACACATACACACACACACACACACACACCACAAAATAAATAAAGAAGCCTGACTCCCAAGCCTCTATCTAGCTCTAGCGCCTTCTTAGCATAAACTCTTAGCACTTAATGGGATGAATTGATGACCTTTGAGATGTGAGTTCCCACACACACGACTACTTTATATGCTTCCAAGATCGAGGAAAAGCAGGTTCTCCCATGAGAAGTGCAGAAGAAGCTGAGAGGGCTGGGGACATCACAGGGGTCAGGAAGGAGATGGAGACTTCTTGCTTTGTCCTGCCCAACTGCCTAATGAGACCTGATCTGTAGCATCTCCTGTAAGCGTGCCTGATCGGCACAGACCCGCCTCTCCTAACCTGCCTCCAATTCATTACCCTTCACCCGAAAGTGCAAGCCATGCTTACATGAGCCCCTTCGTTTTACCCCTGGATCTTAGCACTTGCTCAGTCTGCTTGAGACTGTCCTGCCGCATCTATCAGAACTTCACCTGTTCCTTACATGACCGCTCAGCTGGGCTTCCGATACACCACCATCTACTTCTTTCTCTGTGGCGTCCTCCATCTCCCATGCTAGTGACTCTTTTGGAACTTCAGTCGTTGCCTCCTACATGGTTTTATTTGGATGCTCAGCTTTCATAGTATGCCACTTTCAGACTTAACACAGCAAGTGTAGGAAGGGTAAGAAGAAAGTCACAGAACAATTGCGAATACCTCTATTTATAATGTCCCATGTGGTTATAGTCTAGTCTTGGCTGTGACACATAGCAATGTGAGAGAATTCTCTGGTCCAGTTAGGTTAAGTTGTTCTGTCCAGACTGAAGTATTCAAAGACTAGTGTGTAGTTTTCATTTGGAGACCCACTAAGTCAGACTTGGCCTTCGCTAGAGTCCACTCAGAGCGAAACTGTCCTCATTACCCAGATGATCTGGGGGCCCTCAGGAAAGAAGCTAACATGTTCCTGGGTACATTACTCCTACAGGTGGTGAACCTGTTTTGCTAACACCCTGGCTTTAGGATAGAGCTGAAGAGCCTAGGCGAGCCCTGGGAAATAGCAGGTGAGACCTTGAACAGGGAAATGGACTGCCCGGGGTGTTGTGCGCATCAAGTTATCTACTGGACAGTTAGACCAGGAACAAGGGGATCCTGAGACAAGTATCTATTTAGTTCTTAGGGTTTTTGTTTGGTGGTGAGGGAGGAGTTGACTCGCTACACGTTTTGTAATTCCATTTCCCCCTTTCATTTCTAGATCTGGGATGAGAGTGAAAAGCTACCAGACAACCCTTCTTTTCTGGAACATTGGTCAGTGTTTCCGTTTCATTTGGCTCTTATCTGAAGATGGTTCCTTTTTACTCAAACACCTGCCTGGAAGAAGTAGCTGGGCAGCTGTCCCACAGGGTTAAACCATTTGCCTGCTAAACAGGTGGATGAGACCCCCCAAATAGTAAATGGTTGCCTTGGATATAGTCTTTCAAATTTGGGCTCAAATGTCCTATGCTCCAGAACCCCTGAGCATCCATCCTAAGAGTGAGATGCTCTCAGCACTGTCTCTGCCTGTTGTCGCCGCATCTCGCTCTGAATTATTCAGTCACACCAGGTCTCACCCTGCTCAATTTCAAGGCCAGCCCTTAGAGATGATGCTTATCTTTGGCTCCTAGGCCTTTCACTGTTTCTCATCTTGAGTGGATGTTAAAGGAATTCTAGACTTTGGAAAGCCTCAGGGAAGGTCTTGTCCTAGCTCTGCACTCCAGCCAAGTTTAAACCTTCCTAGCACAAGGTTTCCCCACCTCTGCAGGATCACAAGTAAGGCACACTGTCTGTATCCCTCCAAACACCACTGATTCTCACCTGCCCTCCAGCTCACTCCTCTTCGTTTTCAAACTTCAGTAACTACTCAGTGGCTTCATCTCAGCCAAGTTCCCTGTGTATCAAGCTGTGTTAGTAGATTATTAACCTTGAAGATGAGTTAGTGAATTTATATTGCTTATGACTACATTTTGAGATAAGGAAGAGAGAAATTGGCTTTTTTTTTTTTTCCGAGACAGGATTTCTCTGTGTAGTTCTAGCTGTCCTGGCACTCGATTTGTAGACCAGACTGGCCTTGAACTCACAGATCCACCTGCCTCTGCCTTCTGAGTGCTGGGATTAAAGGCGTACGCCACCACCACTGAACATTGGCTTTTGATCAAGATCTTTGATTTCTAATCTAGTAAAAGTATTCACCAGCATTTGAGTGGTAACAACTAGGACTTAAATGTTCATATACTGGGATGTTCTTAAACAAAAAGATCCAGACTTTTGATCTGCAGCTATCAGATTCATTTTAGTGAAATATCTCATCTATATTCTACTTTTTTAAAAAAATGATTTATTTACTTTATGTGCATTGATATTTTGCCTGCATGTATGTCTGTTGATGTCGGATCCCTGGAAGGTAGAGTTACAGGCAGTTGTAAACTGCCATGTCGGTGCTGGGAATTGAACCTAGGTCCTCTGGAAGAACAGCCAGTGCTCTTAACCACTGAGCCATCTCTCCGACCCCTATTCTACTTTTAATAACAAAAACATTGATCATTTCATTTCCTCAATTTTATGCTCATCAACAATTTGGGAAGTTAGGATTCCTTCAAGATCACAGAAGGTGAAATAATTTGTTGAAGATTAAAAAACACACACATGGAAGAGGTAAATGGACACCAGCCAGTCTCAAAACTCAGTTCCTTGTCCTCTGTGGGACCAGGCCTGGATACTCTCTGTCAGGCTTTGTCTTGGGCTAGTTATCTTTGGCTCCCGTGACTTTCACTGTATGCTTTGGACACTTCATCTGGAAGGGATGTTAAAGGAACTCTAGGCTTTGGAGTTACACTGCTTAGGAGAACCATGGCAGGGTTTCGAGAGCTTTCCAAGGTGAGGGTGAGGCCCCTTCCCATTTTCTGCCCTGTAAGTACCCCAGTCTCCTATACTAGACCCCTCCTTTGAAGGCTTTTCTCCTCAACAAAAATCTACATGGCTGCCAGTCATCTGACATCATCTCCTCATCTGTCTCTCCTTTTCATCAACCCCCACACCAGGGAAGTCTCTTCTACCAGAGACTTCTTTATTGCTCTGGAGATTTTGACCCACTCAAGGATGTCTTCTCTGTCACTGGGATGTCAGAGTACAACAGACCAAATCCTTGCCAGGATGTATGTTTTCCTTGTACAGACAGTCCTCATGGTTGAGCCATTAAAGCAAGACACATTCACTCTTCTCTCGTCATAGACTCTTGTTACTGTTCCCTAGAATTGGAGGAAACGAAGAAGGCTCTCACTTCAAATTTCTGAAGTAGAAAAACAGAATCCATGTTCTGTTTAAAGAATATGTTTCCTGCTTGCTTGGGTGGAGACACATTGTTCTAGTTGATTCAATGGGTAGAAGTCATTCACCGATTCAGACTTATTGGCCACTTATCAATCCAAGAGACATCCCGAGAAAACCCAGCCTCACCTGTCTGGGCAGAGTTAAGGGTGGAGGGTCGGTAGAAAGTGCTGAAGATGTTCCTGAAATAGATATTGATAGCTTCCATCATGACATTCATTGTTCTGGACTGGGTTCCAGCCTGGCTGGGAAAGGGTTGTGACCCTCAGAGCCCCGAAGAGGATACACTCTGCTTGTCATCTTCTCCAAAGGATGCAGTCACTGCCAGGGTTGTGACAACCCCCTTTGGTTTCAGCATGTTGCAATGAAGTAAGACAGAAGACAATTACTAGTGGCAGTACCATCTTGACTGAAGTGCCAATCTGTCCTGCAATCTTACATCATGGTGCCTCTCAAAGACATTACTTCTTTTTATGATGCTCGTAAAGATGCATATGCTGGATGAAATGAACCAGCCTTCTTGGTTATTTGCCTCCCAAGTAGGAAAAAAAGGCAATGGAAAATATTGGTATACTTCTGAAAGGGATTACTTTCCTATTTATTGATAGTTTAGAAAAGGAAATAATGGGGTGAAACTTCCTTCTTTTTTTCTAGAGTTAATAGAAAAACAGATCTCTCTCTCTCTCTCTCTCTCTCTCTCTCTCTCTCTCTCTCTCTCTGTCACACACACACACACACACACACACACACACACACACACACACACACACACACACACACACACATTTTCCATGGGAGCCTTTGCCATGAAGGGTCTTGCAGGTGCTAGGAAATTCCAGCAGAGGGCAGAGTGGAGTTATTTATTTCTGAAACCAATGGGATCCCTGGAGCAGTTGGTGTCCCCACCTGGCTTCTAGGATAAGCTGCAGCTTTGGAGGTGAATTGAAGTCATCTGCTCCTCCATGCCCCTTTCCAAGTTTCACACTATGTATGAAAACCAGTCTGTACTGGAGAAGAGCTTCAAAACCGGTAAGGTATTCTCTGCACGGACATCAGATTTCCATATACTGAAACATCCATTTTATACCTGTAATCCCAGGGCAAAGGGCCCTTTGTGCTCAGCCTAAAGGGGAAATTGGGAAAGCCTTGCTCTGTTCATTGGGGTCACCTGAAAGCTTTGGCCTAAATTATCTAGTTCAAATTTCTTTCTTCCTTCCTTCCTTCCTTCCTTCCTTCCTTCCTTCCTTCCTTCCTTTGAGTTTTGATTAAAAGTGGTACAAGAGGAAAAGCAAATTTGCAAATTTTCTGAAGAAGAGAAGCAACAGGAGTTGTGTAGGTCAGTGCAACTGTGCATAAATCTACATGCTTGCATGGAGGCCTGAGAAATCAAAACGATGGCAAGCTTTAAGTTGTGCAAAGATCCTCAGTGTAAACACAGATTCATAGCAGGTAGAGCCAGGGAGAGTTCAGATACTGTCCCATTCTCTTCACAGTGCATTCAGAGAGACCAAAGCTTGGACATCCACCCAAGAACATTCTGTGTATTAACCGTGGGCTTGATTCAGGTTGTCTCTTTGCTTATAGTCTGAAGGGTTTCAGTGACATTCCCCAGTATGTCTCAAAGATGTGAGCCCATTGCTTTGCTGAATTGGCCACCAGACAGCTCACAATGGACCATTCCAAAATGATGACACGGGGACCTAGGAGCCCAGTTGAGACTGGGCAAATAGTTCAGTGATTTCTCTGTCTTAGGGTGATTCCAGATGCTTCCCATGGAGACCATTTTGGAAGGTGCTGGGTGGTTCTGTGTTCAGCACAGATTCTGATGTGTCCTGGTGCCTCCTGTGGTCACCCCATTCACCTGGTCTTGAGTCAGTCTGAGCACAGTAAGGAGAGGGCTCCATTGATTATTTTCTGTTACAAATATCTGTTACCTAAATAAAGGGGATAAAGTGCCACTGGAAAGGACTGATTGCAGCCTCTCCTAAGATGCACAGCCCTGGAGTGACGAGATTCCTCCTCTTGTGCTGAGGAAGATGCTCACAGCTCCACACGCTGGCATCTTCATACTGAACTCTGGCTATACAAGGCCATCTTCACTTTTCCCCACTTCGAACATTTTTCCGGTGGGAAAGGACAAACCTCAGATGAGAGTCGCCCACTCACGGGGCTCCCACTGCTCAAGATTTCCTGTAAACAAAGGTCCTGTGCCCCCTTACCCAGAGTTGAAATGTAGATTGTCTTTTTGGATCTCACAGTCCAAGAGGAGGCAAGGCACGGACCGGTTGACCTTGAACCTGGCGGGATACCAGCAGTTCAGTCTCATCCCTCTGGCTGCACAGTGCATCTTTACTCAGAACTCATGGTCTTTGTCTTGGCTTCCTCTGTTTTAGACCCATCTAGGCATTAGCTTCGATGCCACAGGGGAGAGCGGAAAACTCCCCAGGGAAAGTGCATGGCAGGGGGCAGGTAGGCATCATCTCATCATTCCACTTCTCCATCCTGCCCCTGAGCTCCCTAGCTGATTGTCAGCGATCGATCTCCATCCTACCTCTAACTCTGACCCAAGGCCAAGACAGTAAAGTGCTAGGACAGAAGTGCCACGCCTGTGCCCTAGCCACAGGCTGCAGGACTGGGACAGGCTTTGTGCCATGGGTAGGATGGTTCTGTGCATATCCAGACCTGTCAGCGGGACTCCTTCTTCCAACTCAGTTCATCTCAGTCCCTGTCTCTTCCCCTGGAGTGCCCTGGCTAGTCTGGGACCCTTCTGGCACTTCAGAGTTAGAAGGAAAGAGAAATATTTGTCTAACTTTCCTACATGTTAAAGCTGTGCAAAGCATCTTAAAAAAAAAAGACTTATAAAAATATAATGGGGTCATTCCCCCAAGCTTCCCATGTTATGATATATGAAATGTCAAAATATAATGAGTGGACTTTCTAAATATCATTGTCTCTTCCCACCTGTAAACAGAATGGGCAGCAGCAGCAGCAGCAGCAGCAGCAGCAGCAGTATCGGTGGCTTCCCTTTCACATCTTCAAACTGGATTCCTGCCTGGCATTTGGGGCCTGTTTCAGCCAGACCCACCTTTCCCATAATGCGCCTACTTGCAGTTCCAAAGAGACTCTCCAAAAAAATAGACATTTGGAAAAAAGTTCATGGGTTTACACTCAGTCTCTCCCCATATTGTTTCTCAAGATTATTACTTTTTTTTAAACAATAAAAAAGATTGCATATTGGTAATACAACGAGAAGACCATGGCGGCCGTAGAGCTGGCACTGAGTTGGGCTGGCGCTGAAGCGCAGAAGCAAGAGGGGCAAGCTTGGTGCCCTGTGGGGGGGTTCCTGGGTTCTCCATCCCCAGGCTTCTGCAATGGTCCTTCTCCTCAGTCACTTCCTGCTGTTGGTCCACCTTTATCCATCTCCACGACCCATGCCTCTGTCATGTGACCCCCTCGAAGCAGAGTCGGAATGGCTTTTTGGCATGTGTCCACCGGGGTCAGTTTGAAGACAGACATGGCATTTGTAAGGGTGTGATGTGGGCACATACCACAGCAAGCTTATTAGTGACTGTTTCTACTCTGGGAAAAGTTGTCCATCACTTTGGGGATTTTAAAAGTTTAAGCAGTTACTAGGCTGATTTAAGAGACGCGTCTTTTGTTCTTGTGGGATTTGCATTAACGTTAAGCATGGTTATATGTCATATATTACACTGCTTTCCTGCTCTGGGGCAGGCGGCACTGACCTCCAAACAGGAGGACCCCCCCCCCCAATCAAACCAATGGACTTGAATTTTGAAAGCTGTGATTCCCCAATCCCCCTCCCTCACCCCCACCCCACCCCTCATGGTCCTCAGTTGCTGTATTTGAAAAGCACCCCCCAACTCATGCCCTCGGAGGCTAGATGAATATTGCCATACCCTGGAAGTATCCACCCCTGTGGTCTCTATTGCACTTGGTGGAGGGAGATGGGTGTGCACTCTCCCTCTCTCCCTCCTCCCCTGGCTCCCAGCCTCGGTGCTCCTCCCACCACCCTCTCCCAACCCCCCACCCCACCCCAGAGCCTTCACTTGTTGTGGACATCCTCCCTTCGGACGATCTTGTAGATGATCCAGTAGAACATGTTGAAGATGAGGAAGGCCATGGGGAACCCAATGCGCGATATCTTGTCGATCTTCTTGGCTCTCTGGATGAAGAGTTTCCGCATCTCCTCCGGGGACTTGGACGGTGCAGGAGGGGGGTTGGTGGTGTTGTTGTTGTTGGCACCCTTGACAGAGATGCCATCCTTGGCCTGCAGACAGGCTGGCCCCATCCCATAGGCGGAGAAGTTGAAGCGGCCTTCTCCACCCTCATCATCCTGAAACAGATTCAGCATGGGGCTCTACTTAAAATAAGACACGGGCTGGGCACCCTCCCTGCAAGGCACTCCCCTGGGGGACCAGGCCATGCCATCTGATCCTCCCTGTCTCTTAGGCTTTGTGTTCCCAGTTGCTGGAGGCAGTCTGGCTGGCTGGGGAGTTCAGCCAAGTAGAGGGGCGCCACTCGCATGCTGAAACAGATGCAAGCCAGGGGATGGGAATGGGTACAGATTCTGAGGCCCGAACTCCACACCAGGCTGTGGGGCTTTGTCATTTACTGACTTGTGACCTCATACTGGTAACTTCCTTCCTGGTGCCTGAGAATGATTTCAAGGTTTCTTCTCAAGGCTTTTTAACCACTGGAGACTTCACTGAGTAGGTGGCTCCAAGCTGGCCTGGGTTTGGGTTTAGAGTTTTGGAGAGCGGTTTGCAGACATCCCCTGCTTTGCCTCTGTTGCATCCTTCCTATCTTCCCCACCCCGTGATGGCCCGGGAAGGAGCAGAAAGCTCCTGGCTTTCCCATGTTATGAGTCAGGGAAGCCATGGCTTCTTCCTGCCTCAAGTTCCCACGCCATCACCTCTAATAGTCTTCTGATTTCCATAAGCTTGTCACAGGCTCTTTGTCATTCAGCTCCAACTTACCTTTCCAACCCCACCCCACTTCCCATGTGATCTGTACCCCTGCTGGCTTTCTTGGCCTTCTCCGCCTTCGTAAAATGTTTGATCCCGGATCCTAGTGGTTCAGCCCTTTCCCAGCCAGCTCCATCATGCCCTGGTCAGTCCCCTTCACCTGCAGTTCCACAACAGGACCAAAGGCCAAGGTGTTTGTTTTGTTTTCTGTGTGTATGTGTGCTCACAGGTGTGTGGGTACATGTGTGCATGTGTGTGGGACATGTGGAGGCCAAAAGTTGATGTCAGGTATCTTCCTGGATTCCTGTCCTTCTTTGTTGAGACCAGGTCTCTCAGTTGAACCCAGAGCTCGCCAGTTCAGCTAGTCTCGTGCTGGCTGGCTTGCTCCTGGGATTCCGTGTCTGCCTCCCTTGAGCTGAGATCACAGTCAGGTTACCCCACTTGCCTGGCACTTCTGGTTCTCACGCTTAAGCCAGAAGCACTTTAGTGGCTGAACCATGTCCCCAGGCCAAGGCCAGTGTTTCAGCTGCAGCTGAGCCACCAATTCAGTGTGTGGTGCTGGCAAGGTCCACCAGCTCACATTGCCCTCCTGGATACCAAAAACTTCCAGGAAAGGAATTCTGTCTTGCTTTTCCCCCAAAAGACAGTGCCAACGAGAATAAGAAATGTAATACAGGATCTAATACCCTGGTCTTCCCATGCCTCTGCCACCCTTGGGCATGCCGCCATCTGGCTGACCTGGACGTCTCAGTCTTCCCGCCTCAGTATACCAAATGCTGGGATTATGGGTGTGTGCAACTATGCCTTGTTCTACTAAGAACTTTCTAGCAGGCTGCTGCTGACCTCAGGATAATTAAATTCTTCCAGTGCTTAAGAAGGCCTCAGATTCCCTGGCGTGTGTCCACCTGTTCCGTCTCCCTTCATGCCATTTTCTGTGTGACATTATTCTTCAGTCACCCTGAAACATTTCCTCACGTTTGAGGATGTTGGGCTGAATTCCTCTTTGGTTCAGTTCAAGTTATTCTCTCTGCTTTGCCTCTGCCTCCAAAAATGGGAGCCCTGGCCTCCCACTTAGGTGCCCCTTGAGCGCCCAAAGACAGGCTAGCTGTCATGGAGAGTGCCCTGTGAGTGACCCTGAGGAGAAGCTCCGATTCCACTGGGTTCTAATTCCTTTGCTAACCTTGCCCCTCCCATTAGATCAGCAGTTCTCAACTTGTGGGCCTTGACCCCTTTGGGGGGTGGTTGGAAGGAGGATGACCTTTGCACAGGGGTCGCCTAAGATCACCAGAAAACACAGATATTTACATTAGGATTCATAACAGTAGCAAAACTACAGTTATGAAGGAGCAACAAAAATCATTTTGTGCTTGCGGGGTCCCCACAACATGAGGGACTGTATTAAAGGGTCATGGCATCAGGAGGTTGACAACCACTGCCCTAGAGAGTAAGCTTTGGGAACAAGCAGCTGTGGTGCAGCCTGTCGACCCAGTGTTTGGAAGCAGAAGCAAGAGGATCAAGAGTTCAAGATCGGCTGAGCCACACAGACGGAGGTCAGCTTGACGTACACAAGGCCCTGTCCCCCAAACCAGCAACACCCAGCTCACAAAATGCACCCTGAAACAAGCGCTGAACAGACAGACATGTTCTTTTGGTGCAGAGGCCCAAAACCTAGCAATATTATTACTTCAGTAAATGGAATCTTCACCAGTCCCAGCCTCCTTAATTGTTTTTCTTAGACTTATTTTGTGTGCATGGATGTTTTTCCTGCGTGTGTTTATGTTCTAAGTGTAGGCTAGTGCCTTCAGAGGCCAGGAGAGTGACAGGTATCCTGGACCTGGAGTTACAGACAGTTATGGGCTACCATTGTGGGTGCTGAGAATCAGACCTGGGTCCTCTACAAGATTAGCAAGTGCTCCTCAATGTCTGAGGGAGCTCTCCAGCCCACCCAGCCTCCTTTGACATATTTTCTTCTCTTCATTCCTTTGGTTTATCTAAGTGGGGTTGCATTCTGCATCAGACACATGACTAATGACCGGGAAATGTTCCGTGAGTGCATCTGGCTCAGCATTCACCGTGGAAGAAAGAGAACGTGGGTCACATACTGAGGGCAGACAGGTGCAAAGCCAACACTGGAAGGTGGTGGAGGCTTCACACCAAGGCCAAGAAGAGGAATGTGGGAGCCAGCACATTCCTGGACCCAGGGGCTGGCAAGGGACCTGGGACTTCATCACATCTAAATGTAGCTGAAGTTTTTCTGTGTCCCGTTTGGTCCTCAGCCACTCAGACCCAAGTAAACACATGGAGGCTTATATTGATTAAAACTGTTTGGTCATTAGCTCAGGCTTTCCACTGATTAGCTCTTACATTTATACTTAGCCCATTTCTGTTCATCTATGTGTTGCCATGTTTTTCATGCCTTTACCTGTGTGCCATTATATGCTGCTCCCTGGATTGCGGGCTGGCATCTCCTGACCCAGCCTTCCTCTTCCCAGAATTCTCCTTGTCTGCTTATCCCACCTATACTTCCTGCCTGGCTACTGGCCAGTCAGTGTTTTATTAAATCAGTGTACAAAAGCATTATCCCACCGCATCTAAACATAAACTTGCCCTTACTGTTAGGAGGCAGAGAATAGAGACTGTTGCTTTCCCTTTTTTATGGCTGTTTTCACCACACAACACAGCCCCAGTGCTGACAGCGTGGTAATGGACGACACAGAAGTGTAAATGGTCTCTACACGTCTGCAGCTCTAACTCAGAACTAACGCAGCTAGCGCTGAGCATCGCTGATGCTCTAAGAAAGCAGTCAGGCTGGAGAGATGGCTCAGCACTCAAGAACACTGGCTGTTCTTGCAGAGGACCTGGGTTTGGTTCCCAGCTCCCACATGGTGGCTCACAACTGTCTCTAACTCCAGTTTTAGAGCCATTTTTTTTGTCTCCTTTGGCACTGGGCACATACATCCACACAGACAAATATTTATAGACATAAAATAAAAATAAACTTTAAAAAGATTTAAAAATGAATAAAGAAGGTATGGGCTGATAAGATGGCTCAGTGGGTAAGCCTGGAAAACCTGGGAATCCCCAGGACTCACACAATAGAAGGAGAGAACAGATTCTTACAAGTTGTTCTCTGATCACTGTATTTCTGCATATGTAGACATTCATGGACATTTGTGAGTGTGTGTACACACACACACAGACACACACAGACACACACAGAGTATTCAAGGCCAGCCTGGGCTACATGAGACTGTCTCTAAAAGCAAATAAAGAAAAGGAAAAACTTGGAGTGACATTTGCAGTAAGTGAGTAGTAAGTACGTCGTGTACATAATTAACCGTCTCTAGACACAGAGGAGTACCACCACAACATAAATCCCTACCATATATAACAGACTCTCTTGGTATGGGAAACACCATATTAGCTTTCCCAGACATTGTCGGAGATTCATGCTCCACCTTCCTTATCTGTTACTCATTGGCAGGGGAAGAGGTTTGGCTCCATCTAGATAGACAGCGGCCCCTTGTATCCTGGAGAAAGGAAATGCCTGAGGAATGACGGGCAAAGGCTTGCTATTCTGACTACAACCAGCAGATGACAGGACAAGCATGTTCATCTGCCTGGAGATGCTTGGGGATGGAGCAAGAAACTGGGACATAGACTGTGGAACCCACCCGAGGGATCTGGAGCATCTGCTGTGTCTGGGCCCCACAGAAGCTTCCTGAGGACCCTTCTAAAGAGGTGGGCTAGGGACTTGGAAGACTGGATGCTTTCTGCCCAGCAAATGAGGTAGCCTTTGAAAACATGAAAAAACAGTGGGTGTTGGGGAGCCTGGCCCAGATCACTGGCCGAAAGAAATCCAGCCCAGAGCTAGTTCCTTGCCACTCACCAGCAAGAGCTCCAAAACCTGCTCAGGCTTATTACTCAAGGGAGGTTTCCGCAGCCCAAATCTGCAGGACTTCAGTGCAAGCCACACCCAGATGCCAAAGGGAGGTCTTCCGTAGTGTGGGCCCAAGTAACCGACATTGGTCTCATTTATTTATTTATTTATTTATTTGTTTGTTTGTTTATCTATCTATCTATCTATTTATTCATTCATTCATTTATTTATTTATTGGTCTTATTTATTTATTTATTTATTGGTTTTTCAATATAGGGTTTCTCTATGAAGTAGTCCTAGCTGTCCTGGAACTCTCTCTGTAGACCAGGCTGGCCTTGAACTCACAGAGATCCAATTGCTTCTGCCTCCTGAGTGCTGGGATTAAAGGTGTGTGTCTCCACGATCCAGCTCAGCCTGTGTTCCTAACCACTGTACCAGCTCTCCAGTTCCTCTCTTCCTTTATCCCTTTCTCCCCCTTTCTATTTCTCCCCTCCCTCCCTTCCTTCCCTTTTTTTTCTTTCTTTTCTTGTAGCCAAGGCTAGCCTTGATATCTCTACCTCAACAGTGATGTTATTGGGCTTACTTACAGGGCTGGGTGAAGGGTTACTCACAGGAGCATGGGGGCCTCCAAAGCAGCCACAGGGGGAAGTCTTCGCCCAGTCTGGATGATGGCTTCCCCATGGCTGCCTAGAGGATTTCCCTCCTTCAGTTAACTTTTCCTAGCTTTTAACCTTGAGCTTTTGATCTTCCTGCCTCAGCTTTCAGAGTGCTGGGATTACAGTGGAAATCACTGCACCTCATTTTATCTCAGATTTTTTTTTTTTTTTGAGAAAAGATCTCATGTAGCTCAAGTTTCCCCTTGAACTTGATATAGCAAAGGATGGCTTTGAACTTCTGATTCTCCTCCCTCTACCTCCAAGTGCTGGGGCTACAGATGTGCTTTCATGTCTGGATTTATGCAGTGTGAGGTATGGAATGGGGGGAGGGGCTTCGCAAATGCTAGGTGAGCACTCTACTCCAGGCTCCCCCCCCCCCTTTTTTGTGACAGAGTCCCATGCTGTAGTCCAGGCTGACCTTGAACTCCCGATCCTCCGGCCTCTGCACATCATACCCAAGTACTGGAATTGCAAGTATGCACTACAGTGTCTACAGATGATTACTACTCCAAAGGAGGGACTTGGTGCCTAAAGGGCAGTAGGTAGGGCTAAGCCTTCTAGGAGGTTCCACCTAGCCTGCCAAATCTTTTCCAGTATAGACATAGAAAGACCTTGTTGTCTGGACCCGCCCTAGAAGATCGTCCTATGGTAGAGTTAATTGAATCATGTTGCCAGTGTTTAAATAACATACTAGTGGGGAGCCGTGTGTGTGTGTGTGTGTGTGTGTGTGTGTGTGTGTGTGTGTGTGTGTGATAGTTTTCATCCTTGACGCTGGTGTGGCAGGGACAAAGTTGAAAGCTTCCTTGGAACCTCTGACTTCACCCTCAGCACAGTCTCCCACCAAGCCAGTCTTTGTAGATGATGAAGAAATGGAGCCCAGAGCCAGGCCGGCTTGACGTCACATTGCAGAAAACCAACAGCAGGCCTGCCCCAGCCTGCCCTGTCTGCAGGATGAAGCTGGTTATCGTCTTGACTACGGGCATTTGCTTCTTGATGTCACATGATCCCTACAGCACCGATGCTGTGGTTAAGAGAGGCTCTTGATAGCCAACTAGGTCATTATTCACAAGGGGAAAAGTCAAGCTTTTCAGGATCCCTCACACTTGCCTTGCCCATGGGGACAGCCCAATGAAGCAAGGGTCACCGGACTGCTCAGAGATCTTCCTCTGTCCACCGGATGCTCCTCCCTAGGCCACGCCCCAAAGGCCTACCTTGTGATGTCGCCGCTTCCTCCTAAATCGCAGCAGCTCCTTGTGTTGCCGAGACACGAAGTTCACCGCTGCATATTCCAGCAGAGCCGAGAACACGAAGAGCAGGCACACAGCCATCCAAATGTCAATGGCTTTCACATAGGACACCTGGTGTGAGGATGGGAGAGAGCACAGGGAGGTGAGCGGAGAGGATAATGTTCTGAAATATTGCAGCTTGTAAGTTTTAAGCCATACACCGTTCTGAACAATGTGATGAACTCTTGCATCATACTCCTCCATCCTGCTAGTAACATACGCTGTCCTTTCCCAAGTGTATCCACTCTGTATACACTGCAGACGTCTACCAATCACTGAGTAGGCATGCGCATTATCAGATTGACTGTGGCCAAAGCACAAGTATTATTTACTTAATAATGGCTCCAAAGTGCAAAACAGACAAGCAGGGAATTTGGATATGACAAGAAAAGCTACAAAAGCCTCTTTTTTGTTTGTTTTTTGTTTTTGTTTTTTGAGACAGGGTTTCTCTGTGTAGCCCTGCGCCTTTCCTGGAACTCACTCTGTAGCCCAGGCTGGTCTTGAACTCACAGAGGTGCACCTGGCTCTGCCTCCGGAGTGCTGGGCTTAAAGGCGTGCGCCACCACCGCCCGGCTTACAAGGCTTCGAAGTTCTCAATTTAATACGGAAAGAAAAATATCCTTTGCTGATATTGCTAAGATCTACATCAGCAACAAATTTTTATTTAAAGAAATTTTTAACCTTATTATTATTATTATTATTATTATTATTATTATTATTTTTGGTTTTTCGAGACAGGGTTTCTCTGTGTAGCTTTGTGCCTTTCCTGGAACTCACTTGGTAGCCCAGGCTGGCCTCGAACTCACAACGATCCGCCTGGCTCTGCCTCCCGAGTGCTGGGATTAAAGGCGTGCGCCACCACCGCCCGGCTTATTTTTTATTTTACATACTTAAAAAAAAATTTTAAATATGTAAAATTTTATTTGCATATAGGTATTTTGCCTGTGTGTATGTCTATGCATGCAGTTCCTGAAGAGGCCAGAGAGGGCACAGGATCCTTTGGGACTGCAGTTATAGATAGTTATGCGCTACCCTGTGGGTGCTGAGGATTGAACCTGGGTCCTCTGGAAAAACAGCCAGTGCTATTAACCACTGAGCCATCTCTCCAGCCTAAGAATGCATTTTTTCAAAAAAAGATTTTTTGTTTTTTGGTTTTTCGAGACAGGGTTTCTCTGTGTAGTTTTGCACCTTTCCTGGAACTCGCTTTGGAGACCGGGCTGGCCTCGAACTCACAGAGATCCGCCTGCCTCTGCCTCCTGAGTGCTGGGATTAAAGGTGTGCACCACCACCGCCCAGCTTGTTTTTAGATTATATGTCTCTGTGTATATTTGCATGTGAATGTAGCATATGAGGAGACCAGATGGGGTCACCAGATCCTCTGGAGCTGGAGTTTATATAGATAGTTGTGAGCTGCCCAGTGTGATGCTGGGAACTGCACTTGGGTCCTCTGCAAGAGCAGCAAGCACTCCTAACCACGGAGCCATCTTTTCAGCTCCGCAGCAGAACACACTTGTCTACACAGTTATGGTGTGTATAGGAAAAGAACACGGCACACAGGGTTTGGTACCACTGTCGTTCTATGCAGTGGCTAGAGGAAGAGTATAGCGGAGTGTCCCTAGAATATGACCCCTGTGGATAAGAAGAGATTGTTGTGCCAGGCGTTGTGGTGCACGCCTTTAATCCCAGCACTCGGGAGGCAGGGCCAGGCGGATCTCTGTGAGTTCAAAAAGCGATTGTTGTATTGAGTGTGGATGGGACATCGCTGATCTTCAGTAACTTTCCCCACTGCCACTGCTCCTCAGCTGGGGTATTTGGATGGAAGGAGCAGAGGAAGCTAGGAAAAGCATATTGAACAAGCTGGGCAGAATGTCAGGGAAAAGAGATGATGCTTACGAGAGAAGGGATAAGAGGAGGATGGTGCACCTCCATCGCTTCCGTTTGTGGAGTGGAGCATAGCATGTAAGTCTGAGAGGATGCTGGACTGAGCGTTAGCGCGAGAGGAGGCTGTTGGTAAACAGCACTGTCAGGACCCCGGGAAACTGTCCCTTCACAGAATCATTGAGCGCACTGGCAGAAATTGCTACAGTCACGTGACCTAGAGCTCTGTTAACTACCAAAGGCTCATAGCAATCCTGTGAGAATTTATTCAAGAAAAGCAGTTGATGGCTGAGAGATGACTCAGCAGGAGAAAGGGCACTTGCTGACAAGCCTGATGACCTGAGTTCAAACCCCAGGACCCATGTGGTGGAAGTAAAGAACCAACTCCCCTAAGTTGCTCTCTGACCCCCCCCCCACAGACTCTGTTGCTTATATGTGCCCCCTCACACCCCCAAATGAAGAAAAAAGTAACAACAACAACAACAACAGCAGCAGCTGGATTTTGGAGAGAATAGCAAGTTCATAGCATTGTTTTAAAACTGTTGAAAACTGGTGTCAAAGCTTCTCTACTTCCCCAACCCTGAAGATCAACATGTTTCTGTGGCTTTTCTGTTCTGAACATTCCAGAATTTCTTTATGAAATAATATTAGCAGCATGTGTCCTTCCGTGACTGGTTTCTCCCACTTATAATACGTTTGCGGTTTATCTTACTGTTGCATTCAACAACAGCAGTTTATTTGCATTTATTTATTTTTAAAGATTAATTTTATATTTATTTGTGTGTATGTGTGTGCATTTGTACGTGTAGACGCACATGTGCGCAGGGTCCAGAAGATGTCATCAGTTCCCCCTAGAGCTGGAGTTACAGGTGGTTGTGCACTGCCCTACCTGGGTGCTGGGAACCCAATGGCGGTCCTCAAGCAAGAGAAGCAAATGCTCTTAACCGCTGAGCTGTCTCTCTAGCCCCAGCAGTTTATTGTTATGCCTTAATAATATTCTATGTATGGATACATCGCACTGTTTTTGTTCATTGGATGGTGGATATCAATCATCTCCATCTTTTGGGGGAATAAAGAGTGATGCTATAGAGTGGCTGTATGCATGAATTCATTTCCCCTGGGGCTTCGGGCGCTTTAACTTGCTCTGCTCCTATCCTAACCCTCCAGACCACAGCAGCCTTGACAATCAGCAGCCGGAAAAGCACAGTAATAACCAACCACCAGGCAGCCACTGGAGAGGGCAGAGGAGCCACTTCAAACCGGTTCCCTGGGCCCTGCCCTCCTCCTTTGACCTCCTTAGCTGTTCACTTAGAACTACTCACAGGCTGCCTTTATTTGACCTGATTTGGAGGGGGCCCAGTGGGAACAGTTTTCATTTGTATCTTTTTAATCGGGGGGACATTTGTTGAAAACAATTAGTGGCAATTGCTATCAGAGGCACTGAGGCAAAACGACAGGTTAATCAAAAAACTAAAGAGGGGACTGGGGACGGACATAGCTCAGTAGTGGGGCACTTGCCTGGCAAGCTCAAGGGCCTGGGTTCAAGATTTTGCAATGTTAAATGAAAAGTTCAGGAAAGTGAGCTGTGTCATGAGATGCCACAGCAGACTAGTCTGAGAGGGCTCACAGAGGACCCAGGCCTCCCTGAGCCCTGAGCAGGAAGTAAAGGCTGAGGCCAAGCTGTAAAGTGCCTGACTAATACTGACTCTAACAGACTCTCTCAGGAAGAGATGGGGATGCGCATAGGATCTGGACATTCCCTAAAAATCTGTGTGGTTTTTTGCGTGGCCACTAGGCTGAGTGAGCCAGACTTCAATGGTTGACATAACCAAGAAGACAGGGTTCACAAAAACAGTTCAGACAGAGTTAAGAACAGACATCAACAACAAGTCCTTAGGGGGTAGAACCTGAGTTCCAAAAATTGCCCTGTTGTATTATGTAATATGAGCAATTTATAAGATGTGCAAACAAACAAACAAAACAAAACAAAAAATAACTCTCCCACCAGAAAAATGACCCAGTTACAGGAAAACAAGGTGGGTCAAAGGGGTGGCACCTGAGGACACCAGATCTCAGACGTAACAGAGACTTAATTATTTTATTTTATTTTTAGTTACATGTATATATTATGTCTGTGTATAGGTATGTGCACAAGAGACTAGAGACATTGGATCTTCTGGGGTTGGATTCCTAGGAGATTGTGTTGTGGGAACGGGGAACTAAACTCAGGTCCTCTGTAGGAGCAGCGAGTGCTTTTAATCTCTAAGCCATCTCTCTAGTCCCTTTATTTTATTATTTTTAAAGACAGGATATTATATAGCTGGCCTTGAACTTGCTGTGTAGCTGAGGATGACTTAGAACTCCTGATGCTCCTGTCTCTGCATCCTAAGGGTATGTGTGCCACTATCACACTGGGTAGACAAAGACATTGAATTAGTTAATTCAATTAGCTTAAATATATTCAAGCAATTGAAAGAAACTGAGTATAGGAGTCTGAGCATGGTGACACACACTTGTATTCCCAGAACTAAGGAGGCTGAGGGTGGAGAATCGCCCATGTGTTTGAGGCCAGCTTGGGCTACAGAGTGGATTCTGTCTCAAATAAAACAAAAACAACACAAAGAAACTAAAGGAAAATTTGAGAACATTCTCTCACCAAACAGAACACATTAATAAAAAGATAAAAATGATAAGAGAACCAAATGAAAACTCTGACGTTGAAAGTAAATAATGAAGATGAGAATTTCACTGGAGGAGACAACAGTGAATCTGAAGAGGCAGAAGAAAGATCCAGAGAACGTGGAGCAGAACCAGCAACTTGAGATCATGAGTCTGAGGGACAGAAAGAGGGAAGAGGAGCGGAGCCACAGAGACTCATAGGAAACACCAAAGCCACCAACACATGGTGACCAGGGCCATAGAAGAGACAAAAAGGTAGAATAATTGACCAATTATCTACCCTATGCCTATCATCTATTTATTAATCATCTATCAACCTATTAATAACCTATCATCTATTTATATATCATTGATCTTTTATAACTTCTTCCAACTGTCTACTTACCATCTATCTATCTGTCTGTCTCTCTATCTATCTGTCTAGCATCTATTTACCTATCCAATTTATCTTCTATCCTATCTCTATCATATATGTATTTATGTATCTATCATCTATAGACCTATCTAATGTATAGTCTGTCTCCCTCTCTCTTCTATCTATCTATCTATCTATCTATCTATCTATCTATCTATCTATCTATCTATCTATCATCTATCTATCTATCTGTCTATCTATCGTCTGTCTTCTGTCTATCTGTTCTTGTTTCTTTATTGTTGCTGTGACAAATGCTCTGACTGAAAGCTACTATGGCTGACACTTTCAGTTCACATTTCATTATTGAGGGAAATCAGGGTGGGAACTCAGAGAGGTTCTTGAAGCAGAAACCATGGAAGAATCATGCTTGCTCTCTGCTCACTTGTGCTCAGCTAGCATTCTTATAATTTATTTATTTCTATTTTATGTGCATTAGTGTTTTGCTTGCATGTATGTCTGTGTGAGGATGTCGGATCCCCTGGAACTGGACTTACAGTTGTGAGCTGCCATGTGGGTACTGGGGATTGAACCCAGGTTCTCTGGAAGAGCAGCCAGTGCTCTTAACCTCTAAGCCATCTCTCCAGGCCCTAGCATTCTTATATAGTTCAGGACCACCTACATAGGGATGGTACTGCCCACAGTGGGCTGAACTTTTCTACATCAATTAACAGTTAAGACAATCCATCCATAGACATGCCCACAGGCCAATATGATCCATGCATCCCTCAGTTGAAATACCCTTAGATGACTCTAGGCTGTATCAAGTTGACAGTTAATGCTAGCTAGGAGTGTATGTATGTATATAAGTATGTATGTATGTATGCGTGTGTATGTATATATTTATGTCTGCATATATGTCATTTAATATATCTTATCTTGTTTACATGTAGCATCTATCTATGCTATGTGTCTATTTATATATTTCTATCTCTGTATATAAATAAAACAAATGTGGCTAAGTACTAATAATTGGTGAATGCAGGTAAAGGTCATGGAATACATCTTGGATATTCTTTCAGTGTCCCTGTGCTACATCAGAGGTAATGTGTGGTCCTGACTGGAAACAGTGAAGACACTGTGTATCACCAGCACAGGTGTGGCATGAATAGCAGAATACAATGCTGTGTTTGGTGCTGGTGGACAGAGTGGGAAGTGCCTTGGACAGTTAGAGTGAATGCAGCAGAAGTTGGGCCTGGCGTTAGGGAAAAGCAGAACAGGATGAAGCAGCAGCAATGGACATCAGTGGGGAGCAGCATGGTACTTCACAGGAGGGTGTCAAGGAGTAGGGGCATGGCAGTACTGTTATTCCTCGCTAGGAAGATGTGGAGGGACAGCAGTGTAGGGGACAGAACACTATGTTTAGTGTTAAGGGTGAATTAAGCAGAGTCTGTGTTGAGTCTGGTGGGAGGACCGATGAGCTAGAATGCTGAGTCAGGCGAGCACGGACTAGCTTAGCAACCTGGAACTCCACACACCCTTCCCCAAACAATGCATCTAGCAACCTAGGGCCCCCACCTACATCATGTTGCATGCCCAGCATTATCCAACTGTGGGCAATGGATAATGGTCATGAAGAACTTCCCTTTTGTGGATAGTTCCTATTCAAATATCCTTCTGGATGTATCTGCGTACAGGAAGGAGGGGGCTGCTCCAGTCTGAATTGGTTTGGGAAGCATGAGCAGTGAGGCATACTGCGTCTTCTGAACAAACTTGTAGGGAGAATTCTCCATTTACCGTATTTTGTTGCTGTTCTTTGTTTTGAGACAGGGGCTCACTATGTAGTCCTGTGTAGTTGGGAATTCATTATGTAGACCAGGTTGGCCTGAACTCAGAGATCTACTTGCCTCTGCTTGCCAAGTGCTGGGATTAAAGACATGTGCCGCCACACCCTGACCCTTATTTACTGCTTATACCTATGCATAATTGGGTGTGCATAAGATTAAAATCAGATGCATCATGGGAAAGAGCATCCACAATAAAGCGTATATAACTCAAATCTGTCAATCACAACAGAGAGCCACCCAGATCATACTCTTTAGCCATCAGTCCCTCCTTCTTTCAGGCTCCATAAAATTAAGTCCCAAACAGTAAGCATACCCTTGAGTTCTCTCTTGCTCTGGTGGCCTGCTGCTGTCTTTAGCAGGATGCCTGATTCATACTCTTCATTTTTTGTTTTGTTTTTGTTTTTTGAGACAGGTTTTCTCTGTGTAGCTTTGGAGCCTTTCCTGGAACTTACTCTGTAGCCCAGGTTGGCCTCAAACTCATGGAGATCTGCCTGCCTCTGCCTCCCGAGTGCTGGGATCAGAGGCATGCGCCACCACTGCCTGGCTCTGATTTATACTCTTGATTTGCTCATGAATAAAGTTTTCTTGCTATTTTGCAAACTGTATGCATCTTCCCTCACTCCCCAATTCTTTGAATAAGATGCCAAGAACCTAGAAACTGTGGTCCAGGCAGCAACTTCTGGAAACAATGCCATACGCAGTATGTATATACATGGTGACATACACTATATGTTCTCCATGTCTTAGGCATGGATGAAGGATGCTGGATTCTTCTCTGTTCTGGGGTTCAGTACTCCTCAATGGTGCTACTCACCTTGGGTAGGGAGGCTCGGGAGCCAGAACTCTGTGTGGTCATGGTGAGCACAGTGGTGATGCCCAGTCCCACACGAGCTGGTGCAGCATCCATGTTGATCCAGAAGGAGATCCAGGACAGGATGACAATGAGCAGACTGGGAATGTACATCTGGATCAGGTAGTAGCCCATCTGCCGCTCCAGGTGGAATCGGGCCTCAATGCAGGTGAATTTACCTGCAAGGAATGACAGCAAAGGAGCCATGGAACATGCTAGAGAGTGGCAGTGGTATTAGGGTCATCTTGACTGGAGTTCTGGTCCAGCCCCAGGCCATCTATGCTCATAAACAAGGGCTTGACTTGTTCTTTGCCTCAGTTTCCTCACCTAGGGTAAATGAGGTAACACAGTTGACCCTCCATATCCATGGGTTCTATACCCATGGTTTTAGCCAAGTGCAAGTAGAAATGTTCAGGAGTTCATCTCTCCTGAACACATACAGGCTTTGTTCCTGTCCTCACACCCCAGACAACAGGTGAACATCTGTCCACACAGCATTTACACTGAGTTAGGTATTGTCAGTCATCCTGAGATGACGTATGCAGAAGGGTGTGTGTATGTCACATACAAACACTGCCCCCCTCTGCCAAGGGGACTTGAGCATATTTGGCATCTTTGCATCTTGGTATCTGAGGGGGTCCTGGAGACAACCTCCTGGGAATACTAAAGGATGACAAAAATTAAAAAAAAATAAAAAACATACTTCATATGGTTACTCTTTTTTTTTTTTTCCAAGACAGGGTCCCTCTGCGTAGCTTTTGGAGCATGTCCTGGAACTTGCTCTGTAGACCTGGCTGACCTCGAACACACAGAGATCCACCTGCCTCTGCCTCCTACGTGCTGAGTTAAAGACGTGCACCACTACCACCTGGTTTGGTTACTCTTTTTTAAAAATTACATGTATTTATTCATTTGTGGTGTGTGAATGCATGCACAAGTGGACATGTCATACCCTGGTCCTTGTGTGGAGGCCAGAGAACAACTTGTGAGAGTGAGTTCATTCTTCCACCATTTGGGTCCTGAGGATCAACCTATGGTTGTCAGGCTTGGCGGCAAGCACCGTTACCCTAGGAGTCCCCTTGCCAGCCCTTACGTAGAAGCTCTTACGGTTTTTGTGGGGTGAAATGTGCTTATGAAGAACTATGACAGTCCTCACATGTCGTGAACGCTCAGCAGCATCATTTGCCACCACCACCATGACCATTATCCCCATCATAATTATCACCGCCACTATCATTTCTGTCACCATTGTCATTGCAACATCATTACCATTATCATCATTGCCACCATCACTGGGATCAGCATCATTACCATCTTCATCATCACCATCATTTTAATTATCTTCACCATCATTTGGGTTCTCCCTTCACCCACCATGGTTCACCGAGAATGGGCTGATTTCTAATGGTTACTAGTTACCAGTTAGAACCATGGCCTCCCAGCTCCCTCTTGCTTGGGTCCAAAGCAAGCACTTTGCTTCTGCACTATCAGAAACACAAGTTTCTGTGTGGCAGGGCCCACCCTGCATCAACCAACTCCCCCTCCTTGCCTCAGCAGTAGGACCCCTTGCCCAGAATAAAGAGTGTTTACTAGCTTCCCTGCTAATTAGGTGTGGCCCAAGCTTAGGTGAACATCCCCAGGACTCACAGAAAGGACATCTCAGTGGCATTTTTTGTTTTGTTTTGTTGTTGTTGTTTTAAACCTATTCCGTTAACCACCAGGTAATAAACACGGAGCATGCAGTTCTGCAGCTAAACGGTGTCTGAAACGACCTGAGGTCCCGGAGAGCACGGTGGCCACTTGCACCCACCTGTGTTATAATGCTTGGTGCAGTATCTCAGGTCCTTCTCCTCTTTCAGGATAAACTGAGGCAGGGTCAGTCCATCTGCCACCTGCACGGCTCCCTGCTCCTGCCACTCAAAGATGAGGTCATTCATGGTGTATCCAACTGGGAGGGATTGGAAGAAGGAACGGGTCAGCAGGTCTCCGCGATATCCTTAGGGTCGGGGGTTGGGTGAAGCCCCAGACCGTGGTGGAGGTCAGGGAACTCCATTGCCTTCTCTTCTCTACCCGCCTCGTAAAGGAGGTGAAACTTGGTAAATTGTAGAAATTTATTCCCCAGCCCTCCCACCTAGGTTTGTCCTGGGGCTCCACCCCTCACCCCATGATGAAGGGTGATTGACACCAACACTTCTTGCACATGCCACCTCTCGAAAACGTCCCCCTTTGTTCCCCACAGGTTTTCCTCTGGGGAGTGAATCTACCACATGCATATGTTGGAAATGGTGGCCTAGTCGAGGCAATCAGATTTCTGCTCCAGGACCAGCTCCTTTTTTATTTTCTTGAGACATGGTCTCGTGTAGCCTAGGCTAGGCTCAAACTCACTATGTAGTTAGATCTGTCTTCAAACTCACAATCCTTCTGTCTCAGCCTCTTGTGGCATACACTGTGTAGCTATTTCCTACCTTGTGTGTGTGGTGTGACATGTGTATGTTCCGGTGTCTTCCTCAATTGCTGTCTGTGTCATTTATTTTTAGAAAATATCTTATTGTTATTTTAAAATGTGTGTGTGTGTGTGTGTGTGTGTGTGTGTGTGTGTGTGTGTGTGTGTGTGATGTCACATGTGTGCAGATGGCCTCAGAGGCCAGTGGTGCCAAATTTTCCTGGAGCTTGATTTTCAGGTGGTTGTGAGCTGACCAGTGTGGGAGCTGGAAACTGAATTTGGGTCTTCTGCAAGAGCAGTATGTGTTCTTCTTTTAAAAATGTTTTATTTATTTTTATTTCATGTGGATTGGTGTTTTGCCTGCATGTATGTCTATGTGAAGGTGTCAGATCCCCAGAAACTGGAGTTACAGACAGTTGTGAGCTGCCATTTAGGTGCTGGGAATCCAGATCCTCTGGAAGAGTAGCCAGTGCTCTTAAGCGCTGAGCTATCTCTCCAGCCTTGCAGTATGAGCTCTTAACCACTGAGTCATCTCTCCAGCAACCACCTTATTTTTTGAGACAAGGTCTCTCACTAAACACGGGACTTGTTGATTCAGATGGGTTGGCTGGCCAGTGAATTCCAGAGATCTTCCTATCTCTGCACTTCTGGCCATGCTGGGCTTTGACATGGGGCTGGGGATCCAAACTCAGGTTCTGATGCTTGTGTGGCAGGCACTTGCCTGGCTGAGCCTTTCTCCTGGCCCTGTTTCTGCTTCCACCAAAACACTCCACTGGTTCCCCTTTGCTAGAGTGACCTGTGCGGTCAGTTGTCTACCTCAAGTGAGCATCCTCAGACATGATTTCTCTAGACTATTTCCCTTCATTCCTAGCAGGCACATTCACAAGGGACTTGGCATATTGCTTCCTCCTGGGAGGATGCAGCTGATGACAAAGTCTGCGCCCCAGTGAGACAGAGCAGGGTGAGTTATATTTCTAATGTGTATTCTCCAAGGAAACCCTCTACTTGGCACTTGGAGTCATAAAAGTACTCTCCCGGGATTCAGTGATTAGGGAATTTCTGCCTGGCAATGGGTAAATAGGAGCCTGGCTCCTTTAAAAAAAAAATGATTCGGGCAAGGGACTCACAGCTTTCCAGTTGCATGATACATGTCTGTACATCCATCGGGAAGTTCTTCAGGTCCATGGGGCAGGCCAGCGTCAGGGTGATCCTGAGAAGAGAAGGGACTGGGCTGACACGGGCACCACATTCAGGGAGTCTGTGTCTCCAGGCTTTTGCCAGTTGAAATCATTGTTTCATGTAGGGACCAGAGACCAGGGGACCAGTGCTTATAGAATAAGCGTGTGCACATTTCCAAATTCCTGGGATGGTAGAGGAGGCTCCGTGATGGAAAGGAGGTGTCCCAAAGCCATCAGTCAGAGGGACTTCTACATTTCTCTGGAACTTTCTTGGATGCTAGTGATTGCTTTTTAGCAGATTGCTGGGGTGCCGGGTGTTGCCCCTATGCCAACTCTTCCCTTAGGGAGATCCCAGGTTTTCCAGAGTCCCCAGACTCAGGTACTCCTATGCTTCAGCAGTAAGTGTTGAGCATGGCTCTTGGCTGCTTCTGTTCACACACTGGGCCTGTCGAAAGCAAGCCCAGAGCCCCCACCCACTGTTGGCTGTTCCCACACCGCTGACTCACATCTGTGGCTTCAGGCAGGGGCAGGTGTAAAGCAGTGGGTCAGTTATTTGTTTTGGGGTGTTCAACCCTTATAAAGGCTTCAGCCCCAGAGCCAGAGGGAGCCCTTCTGTAACACCTCAGGCTGGTTGTTGAGTCCAGATGGAGTTGGCTGTGGGACTGGCTGGCGTGCTCCCTGTTGTCTGGAAGCCAGGCCCACTTCTTGAGGTACCCAGTTGGAGATGTCTCCATTGAACATAGCTACCGCCACCACCACCCCAGCTGCACACCTGGCCCTTTGTGAACGTCTCTTCCAGCTCATACCACAGGTGTGTGTACTCTCCTCTAAGGACATCAAATAAACAAACCGGGGGTGGGGGTGGGGTGGAGAGGAAGAGGGGGGAGATGGGAGGCAGAGAAGGGGTGGGAGGAGTGAAGAGAGAACGAGCGAGCGAGGCCCATTTCTGAAGCTAAAAGCTCTGAAGTGGGGCAGCTGTCAGGCTGGGTTAATTTCCAGCTGCTGAACGACCTTGGGACCATCACTTTCTGCTGACCTGTCCTTCTGTCACGTTGCACTGGGACTCTGCTTCCCAGAGACATGAAACTGTCCTGGCAGCAGCGAATTCCAGGCAGAAGTGACCCTCCCTCCAGCAGCCCACCAGGGCCTTGGTGGCTGACGCCGGGCCCCATGCCATTCTTCATCTAGATGTAGCAGGTAGGGCAAACTCAATCAGCAGAGCTTCCACATCCCTACCCCTCAGCCTGTGGAGGGACTGAGCCCAGTCCCCTCTGAGGCTCAGAATCAGGCAAGCCTTTTCCCTTTCCGCCCTGTCCCATCCGGGATATGTAAGGCTCTCTCTGAATGGGAGATAAGATTTCTCTCCCGTTGAGGAACTGAAGGTGGGGGGTGGAGGGCATGGTCATTTAACACTTTGAAGCTTCTTTAAATCAGAATGCATCCATTCATTATTATGTATTGATGTGCAGATGTAAAGTGGTGGCCGGTGGCCATTCTGATTCTCCAGAAGTCCCGAGACCCAACCAGAAAGCTGTGGCTCTTTTGATTCTTCAGATGGCATGGGACCCACACTGGTACCCCCATCAGAGCTTACTTTCTGACAGAAACCATGAAAACTTGGGAAGGTTTCCTAAATTTCCAAACCCACACTTTTCTGATGTACATAACGGGGATCATCAAACCTAGTTCATGAGTTATATAATGATGTAATACATGAGAAGTGTTCTGCATAGTCCATTCTCCGAGTTGCCAATGCTGCAAGTGTGAGTCCATTTCTCCACTTGTATTGTCCACTGTCCCTGTGTCCTGGGGAAGGAGGTCAGGGACTAGGTGTGTGTGTGTGTGTGTGTGTGTGTGTGTGTGTGTGTGTGTGTGTGTGTGTGAGAGAGAGAGAGAGAGAGAGAGAGAGAGAGAGAGAGAGAGAGAGAGAGAGAGAGAGAGCTGGTGTCACAGAACACTCTGAAAGCTTAGCACCTATCTAATGTCTACAGGCTACATACACAGGGAGGGGTCCTGCCTCCCGAGGCTTAATACAAGGTAAGTGGAATTCAAAGCAGGGAGGCAGCAACCCTGGCTTATCCTCTCAGACTGTGCCATTTACCTGGTGGTCCCATTTACTGCCAAGTCGCCGAATCTTGCCAACTTTGTCCCTCTACCCTGGCTACTGATCATGTCTGAGAAGTCTATTTTGTCTTCGTTGAAACACAGGGTGACTGAAACTCCACCTTCCCTCACAAGCCTTTCCCATCCTCTCTTTGTGCTTATGATGAAACCCACTCCTGGGACTCCCTGACCTTGTTGTTGTCTCCGGAACTCACCTGATGCTGTAGAGGACATTGCCATTCCTGGAGATTCTCAGCAGTTTGTTGTCAGTGGTGATCTCATGGAAATGGGCTCCCTTCTCATTGGCAAAGAACAGGTCCGGCTTCCAGATGGAATCCAACATGGACGGGTCAAGGTCCAGAGAGTCGTCAGGGTATTCATTGTAGGCCAGACGGGGGTCATTCCACTGCTGCCTCAGGAAGATGTTGACCCTGTAGTCCTGCAGCCCCAAGACAGCAGTGGTGGTGGGGTTAGGCTCTGGGTGCCAACTCTCAGAGGTCCCGGGTGCTTATGGCTCATGGGCCCCCCCAACCTGGAAGAGGCTGAGTGTGGCTGCCTCCCCTGATGTGACTGGGCACCGGGGGACCAACAATTGCTCCTCTCTATCCTCAGCTAAGTACACTTAAATCTGACCTTTAGAAGAAATGTTTTATTTTGAAGGAATTTCAGCTGAGCGTGGTGGCTCACGCCTGTAATTCCAGCATAGGAGGTTGAGGCAATGTGTCTCCCTTCCTTCCTTCCTTCCTTCCTTCCTTCCTTCCTTCCTTCCTTTCTTTTCTTTCCTTGTGTGTGTGCAGCGTATATGTGATAGCCTGAGGACAACTTGTGGGAATTAACTATCTCCTTCTACCATATGGCTCCAGGGGACTGAACTCAGGTCACCAGGCTTGACGACAAGCACCCTTGCCTTTTTTTTTTTTGACACAGGGTTTCACTGTGTAGTCCTGGCTGTCCCGGATCTCACTCTGTAGACCAGGCTGGCCTCAAACTCAGAGTCCACCTGCCACTGCCTCCTAAGTGCTGGGATTAAAGGTGCGTATTGACACATCCAGTTTACTCCTCCACATTGTAAATGAATAAGTGTAAAAAAGGAAGTTCAAGGTCATTCATAGCTCTGTAGTTCGAGGTCTTGCTGGGATACAGGAGACTCATGCAGGCCAGGGCAGGTCCCACTCCAGCTTTGCTCCCCAGCTCTCACTGATTGGAGAGTTGTGGAGAGGCCATTTTATTTCCATTCATGCCTGGGAAAACTGTCAAGACACTGAGCAGATGGAGCTAAGGAATATTCCCTAAAAAAGAAATATTTCAGTAAGAAGTCTTTTAGGGGCTAGAGAGATGGCTCAGCAGTTAAAAGCACTGACTGCTCTTCCAGAGGACCCAGGTTCAATTCCCAGCACCCACATGGCAGTTCACAACCACCTGTGACTCCAGCTTCAGGCCAATCTGACATCCTCTTCTGGCCTCTATCAGCACTGTACACACTCACTCACACACACACAAACACACATATAAAAACGAAATAAGACTTAAAAAAAGGAAAGTTTTAATTTTGCTGGAGAGGTACTGTAAACTTGGGGTCCATTTGGGGTGTATTTCTGTTTCCCAAGGCAGAAAGGAAGAACATTAGTGTTGGGCTCCCCAAAGGGCATCACTCTCCCAAAGATTAATGACCCCAAGTCTAACTTTTGGTGCCAACCTTCAAGAAATAATACACACACGTACATAGTACATACACACACACACACATGCACACACCCACATGTGTGCATACACCCCTCTTACATGTACATCCCCCACATTCATGCACCCACCCATACCCCACACCCATGCACACCCCACACCCTTGTGTGCATGCACACACATATGCACACACCCATATGTGTGCATACCACCCATGCACATCCCCCCATACCCATGCACCCACCCATTCACCCACGCATACCCACACCCTTGTTTGTGCGCTCACACACACATGCACACACTAGAGATATCACTCTTTCCCTGGGGGTGCCACAAAATGAGGCCCCACTGTATTTTCTTTTGGGATGCTGCTTCTGAGCCCCCATTAGTCTTGATCAGTCACTAGCAGGGATGAATGCAAACAAACGATCTTCCCATGCTCACTCCGCCCTGTCCACTGCCTCCCATGTGCTTCATTCCAGTGGAAATATCGACAGCTTCATAAACGTTCCAAAGCATTTTATAGGATTTTCCTATAATTTAATTGCAGCCTGTCCCTCAAGCCTCATAGAAGGTGACGTTTGGTCTCATAATCTCAGGTCTTATGAGTCCCAGGATGGGGGCTAGGCCTGCCTATTGTTTAAAAACTCCAGTTCCAGGGTATCTGACACCCTCTTTCGGCCTCCACAGGCACTGCATGCACAGATGTACATGAAATGAAACACCCATACTTATCAAATAAAAATAAAGAAATAAAAATGAAAAAAATGTCTAATTATATTTGTTTAGTCTGTGTGTGTGCGTGCAAGTGCATGCATGCGCGTATGTGTGTGTGTGTGTGTGTGTGTGTGTGTGTGTGTGTGTGTATCTGTGTATGTGTGTGTGCATGCACAAGCATATGAGTGAAGATGTGGGGGTCAGAGGATATGTTCCAGAGGCAAATTCTTTCCTTCCCCTATGTAGGACTCTGGTCTTGAACTCGGGTTGTCAGGTTTAGTGGCAAGTACCTTACCCATTGAACCATCTCACCAGCCCTGGAGGTTGGGTTTTGTTTTTCTTGCACTGGTGGTGGCATCTCTGAAGCTCGGCCCTCCTCTCCTACTCCTTTGGAGCTTACACAGAGAGTGTGTGTTAGGATGGGTTCTGGGAAAGTCACCTGGGAAGTGAACAGACTATGAATGACTGGGCAGAAAAAGCCTCCAGTCCCCAAATCCCAGTCATAATTTTGATGTTCCTGCTAGTGACATGTCAAGACTGTTCATGTAGCTTCGAGGAAGAAAAGGAAGTGACATTTCTTAAAATGTTTTCCATACTGTCACACACATTTAATTCTCACTAAAGCTCAGCAAACAAACACCCAGATTCCTCCAACAAGGGGAAGAAATGGGCTTAGAAAGGCTGAGGGATGTGTCCAAGAACAGGGTTTAAGAGTTGGGGAATCTAGGGCTGCAATCCCATTGACCTAACCCTCCAGTGAACACTTGCCTTGGATGGAGGAAGTTGGTTCTTGCTTTGGATGCTCTGACCCTTGTTGCCTAGCAAATTCTGTGAACTTAACTTAAGCCCCACCCCCTTTAGGAGCTAGATGCACTAGGTACCCCCTGGTTTTCTTGCTGAGCTCCCAGTAGGATGGAATCCTCAGAAACACCCACGTGGGTGCTTCCTCCCCGAGAGCGGCTCCTCTCCCAACCGTGATTGGCAGGAATTGGAAAGGATGACACTGAACTTGTGTTTTCCCTGCAGCATCTCTGCTACCCCAATAGTCCTCTCTTACTTTCGTGTCTTTTTTTTTTTTTTGTCTTTTTGCAGAAATAATGCATGCAAACAAATAGAATGGTGCATCATTTGAAAGAAGGAAATAAGCCCCACAGGATCTCATTATAAAATGACTAGTGAGAGTCACAGCAAGAGACTGGGACAGCATATCGTGGGGTCCCCATGCCTGACTTCTTTTCTGGCCCATGGCCTCCAGGTCCTGAGAGCTTCTCTGGCTTCTGAGTTCTCCCCATGACCATTGGCTCCTCTTGGAATCTGCTTCCCAGACAGGTTCCCACCATGGAGTTTTCCCTTCAGGGTTGGTAAAGAGTTGGGAATGAAGCTCAGAAGGGATTGAAATGAGTGGTTCAGTGGGTTGAAAGCCAAGTGCTGCTTCGGTTTCTTAGCCTTACACTTTGCTGGCTTGGTGTTTGGCATATGTGAAGTCCATGTGCAAGTTCAGGAGCCAGAGAGGCAATAGTGGAATTCTCCAGCCAAGGACTTAAGGTCTCACTTTCATAAAGGCAGCTCAAATCCCTGAAATGGGGGCACTCAGAGGTACAGTCAGTCCAGTTATCTTCAGCATCAACTCACCCAGATTGCAAGACTTGAGATTCCTTGACAATCTTATCTCTGGTAACTGGATAACTAGTTGCTTTGCTTATAAGACCAAGAAAGATATTAACTCACCCATTCATCCACCCATCATCCATCTGACCATTTATCCATCCATCTACCTACCCATCATCCATCTACCCATCATCCATCCATCCATTCACCCATCATCCATCCATCCATCCATCCATCCATCCATCCATCATCCATCCATCCACCCATCATCCATCCATCCATCATTCAACAATACTTCATCTATCCATCTATTCATTGTTCACCCATCCATCATTCATCCATCCATCCATCATTCACCCATCCATTTATCCATCATCTATCATCTATCCACCCATCCATTCATTTATACATTCATATTCTAAACATGTGATGTTTTCTATTTGTCACTTATAGTTAGATATCTCCTCTTTCCTTCCTTTTGTTGTCTAATTTAACATTCTAACATCTAATAAGCTCCTTTAAATTCAGAATTGGGGTGAAATAGGAAGCTCAAAATGTTTGAACAGGAAAGAGCTCGGAGCTTGTGAGGGTGTGTTATTAGAAAGGAGATGTGGAAGGCAAGAGGCCCACTTGCTATTGTCAGAAGCAAGAGACACAGCAGTAAGGGGTGGGTGGAAGAAGCAAATTCATGTTCCTATTTTTCTTTTTATGTGTAGCCCAAGCTGTCCTCAAACTCTCCATCCTCCTCCAGCCTCCTGAGTGCTGGATTATAAGTAAATGCCACTATACCTGACTCATGTACCTTTTAAAAGACAGCATTTTATTACTTTTTTGGGTGCATATGTGTTTGCGTGTGTGTGCACATGCTATGGCATGGATCTTGAGGTCAGAAAACAATTTGCAGGAGTTGGTTCTCTCCTTCTATTGCATAGATTCTGGGGCTCTAACTCAGTTTGCGAGGCCTTGTGGCATTTGCCTTTACCAGCTGAGCCGTCTGCGGCCCCCTGTGCACATTCTGAAGTCTTAGTTTTCAGTTCTCAAGGAGACAGCTGAGTTTTCCTTTGCTGAATTCAAATAAGCTCTTACCATTGATTGCGCTGAACTGGATACAGACTAGCAGAAGCAGAAGGAGAGGCAGAAGGTTTTGGTTTCTGCACTTGGGGAACTTAGGTTATCAAGCACACAAGGCAAGATGTGGTCACAAACATCCATTATAGGAAGCTCAGACTATCCGTGGTCTCAGGATATACTAACAAGTCGTTATCAGATGCAGCCCTCAAACCATAGGGGCTTGCTCCCAGCAAGGTTAGATGAGAAGGTGGCACCTGAGATGTCCATTTCAGTTGGTCTTTCCTCTTGAAGCTTGTGTCTCAGAGCAGCTCTTGCACCAAGATAAGGACAGCGACTGCTTATGGTATCTGCTTAGCCGGGAAA